ACGTCATGCTCAGGACCCAGAGGACCTGCGATCTATAGCCAAACTGGCTTCATTCCAGGCAGGTTTCCTCAAGAACGATCAAGCTCGTGGCTCATCAGCTTCGGACCTTTATGCCGAAATGCAGGCAAACGCTATCAGCATACGAGATGGTGCTTATGCGACGTCAAACGGGCTACAACTGGGCCAGCTCAACCTATCTCCGGGCTCTCTTCACTACTTAGATGACGACTACCGGTCAATCTTACTTCAAACCCTTACAAACAGTCGGCAATATGAGGGAGACGCGACTTACAAATACCGTAGCGAATCGACACCTGATGATTTATCAGACGGGACGTTTTTCGTCAGTCAAACGGCTAAGAAACATGCCCGACTGGAGACACATTATAAAGCCTTCCATGTGTGGAACCCCAAGGTCGACGTAACAACTGCATCACTTGCAACTTTCAGGGATCGATTGGCCGTTTATCACACCAATTACGACGTCCTTCACTGCGTCAATGAGCCCTCAGACTTGATTTTACTGGAGAATGTTGTATCTGTCAAGGCCACAACAAACGGTGGTCAATCAAGAGAGTTTAAGCTGCTGCTTGGTCGTAAAGCAGTTCGTTTCGAAGAGAACACTGAACATGCATACCCAGAACAGTGAGTACATAGGGACCTTATGCGTTTTTTCAAGCTTGATCGCTAAACGGACCTTATTCTAGCCCTTATCTGGGGGTACAAATGTGGCATCCAGGTCAATTTCATCAGCAAATTCACTGTTGGGAGCTCAACACGACAACAGTGGCTGCGTTAAGACCAGTGACCATGCGATTGATGAGGGCCAATCCAACCCTGGATGATGCCCGATTGGTCTGGGCTAGTATTCACTGCACTCGTGTTTGATCGTAGTCTGGAGTGGCTGATACGCAATCGAGCTATCTATTTGACAGTTGATGCTATCAAAAGGTCACTGTTTGTAGTATGTTCGACGTACGTTCTTCTACTGCCAAGGTTCTTGGATATCTCAGCTAATTCATCAAGCGCCCAGATCAATTCAGACAAGACGTTGATGATGCATATATCGGCCTTCAATCGGCCGTGAAAAGACTATATCGTATATACAACACTGACATAAACCCTCGATCATTATAAAAGTCGTAAAAACAGGCAAACCTCGTAAGTCTAGACATTATACAAACGGACTCTATTCGGCCGTTTATCGCCCCTCGAGGCACCCACTACCATGTCGTATCAAACACCGTATATCATTAAAAGTCGTAAAAAAGGCCGTAAGTCGAATCCCCAGTCAAAACACGTCGTATCGCCGCTGACTCGGCCCGTTTGTCGTCAGTTCGTTGCCCGATCGATCAAGTACACTGGATACCAGTGTCCTGGAGGTACTGCTCGATCGCGAGCTCCCTGATCGTCGCCTCCGGCAACGCCTCGTCCTCGTCGTTCGAGACGTAGGGCGCGATCCCCTGTCGAATGGTCAAGTTTGACCCCTGATTCAACTTCGCTTCGAGAGTCATCCTCGCAGCGTCGTTGGGGGTCGGTACCGGATCGGGGTACAACCGGGCGTAAATCTCAGGCGAATTCTCCTGGATTGACGTGAGAACGTCGGGCCGCACCATCGACCGGTAGATGACGTACAACGTCTCGTTACTCTCGTCCGGGACGTTGACGTTGTCGGCCATGGGAGGGGCCAACTCGGACAGTTTGAGGTCCGTTTGGGGCCAGTACTCCCGAGGACCACACCATCGAGGCTGCCACGCGTGCTGCTTGCCCTCTTGGGTGACGGCAAACTCGAAGTCGAGAACGCTGGCAGCGATGATAGCCTAGAGACGGTAGGTTGATGTGTGTTTGCAGTGCAGTTGTACGTTCGAGTCACAATTATCGAAGTGAGGGTGAAGGAATGGTGAGTAAGCCAGGTAAGTAAAACAACATACATCAATCAGACTTCAATCGTACCCAAACGTACCTCGTTGGACATCCAAGTCGGCCAACAGATCTCGATCGCGATTCGAGATCGCTCCGGTCCCAACATCGAACGGCGGTAGACATGCCACGCCGATACGTCGACATCCCCGCCCGGTTCATCCCCGTCTGCAGGGAGTTCGAGAGGATCGATGGGGTCAGGATACCTCATGTCCTCTTCGTCGTCGGCCTTGTAGAACGACGGGACGAAGCACCGCTGCAGTAACCGCCTCCAAACGGACGTCTTCTGGACGTCACGCAGTATCGATCGGTCCCAGGTCTTCTTCCGGTCCTTGACGGTCTATGTATTTGAAAAAGTTCGGTGACTTAGCTAAGTTAACAAACAGGCATCAAACTGTATCCAAAGGGGGCTAACCTTGAGCTCGGCCTTGTCCGACCAACTCTTGCGGTCGACCCCACCCTTCGAAGAGTCGGCCGGAGGATTACCAGCCTTGCCCGCGAGTCCTCGACAGTACTTGACCGTACAGGCCACTATCTCGGTCCGATTGGGGAGTCTTTCACCTAGGTTATGTTGGTCCCAATTGCCCAACACGACCGCGATCACAGCCTCCCGGAACTCTTCCCACTCGCTAGATGTAAATGAAGGTATGTCAGTCTTGCCCGTTTGATGTGTGTTTGTAGTGACTTACGGCTTCCGAACGTTCTTCCAGTCGGGACGCCATACCTTCTTCTTTCCGTCGACAAACGTCTGAAGCGTATGCTTCTTGCCCGTCGCGAGAGGCTTAGGGAACACATTGGGGGTCGATCCGGGGTTCTTCGTGGGCGTTGAGCCCTTGACGATGGCGGACTCCATGCCGACGAGGAACTTCACCGCGTGGTGACAATGTGCCTGCAAAGAGTAAGAACGCACATCAACTGGGGCTCAAACGTACTCGATTGACTTGTGTATGAACAATCACTCACCTGCAGCACCGTAGCCTTGGCCTTGCGAGCCGCCTTCGAGGGAGAACCGGGAACGGCCGCTTGTTGGGCCTGAATCGGGCCAGCTTGACCCACGTCAGCAGCAACAATCTCTCGAACGAGATTGGCAAACTCGGCGTTCCCGAACAACGCCTGGACGATTGCGGGAGCGTTGGCACCCCCGGCGGTTGGCGTCTCGGCCAGATTGAGGGCCGATTGGGCCGTCTCTTCGACCTCGTCGAGCCTACCCTTGACGGCCTCGAGCTCTTCATCATGTCGTTCCAGTTCGTCGAACAGGGCTGGAACGCCCGACAAAGACCCCTGAATGTCCCCCAAGCTGCTGGAGAGGGTACCGAGAATAGGGAGGGTCGCCTTCAAGATCCCGACGAGTTCCTTCTGCTGGAGTTTGTCGATCTCCCGTAGATCGGACACCAGTCGTGCCTGACTGTCGACCTTCTTGACTAACTCCCCCACAGCCGTGACACTCTTCTCCACCCGACTCTTGGCTTCGGCGTAGAGGGGAAGCTCGTAAGGCTTCGAACGGGTCTTGAACTAGAGAGAACGATGGGCGATTGACGCACGGTCAGTCAAAGATAACATAAGCGATAACAAACATAGGAACATGACTTACCAAGTCCTTGATGGTAGTCTTGGGCTATAGACAGGTCAAACAGAGTACGATCAGACATGTTATAACCTTCCGAGAAGCCCAAACGTAGAAAAACAACAACAATAGAGAACTCACGGTGGCAGGCATCTTGAAAAGTCGTAGTAAGTCCAAAGGGGGTCTTAAGAGTGTTCGTACGGGCTAGATAGGTGTTCGTGAAGAGTCTAGAGAGTGTTTTGATGTTTCTAGAGGGTTTCGAAGTAAAAAGGTAGTATTGTAGTAAGTTGTAAGTCGACTCGAGCTTCTCGACGAGTTAGGGTAGCACGCGGAAGCAAACTTGGCGGATACAAATTTGTAAACAAAAGAGAAAGATTGATGCCCGATCGACGTCTGATTGTGGAACAACAGTTTGATGCCCGAAAAGGGTACGATCGCAAAACTCATATGAGATACAATCGCGGGTCAAACTGTGTCCAATCAGACTACGATTCGAGGTCAGTTTAGCATCTCGCGCGCTGGTAAACGGCGCGTCTAAAGTGGTCCGTTTAGCAGCCTTTCAAACGGGCGTCAATCTGGCCTCGCGTGAACTCCTGTGATAGGAGGTGGGATAGGGCTAGAGTACAATTGGCACTGGATACCTTTCAGGCCGTTCCATTTGCCTCAACTTGCACCTAGTATAACAATCGACCGGTTCGTCAAGATATCCCGCAGACCATTCGTCCGGGTCTTTTATAATAGAGACATAGCCCGCACAGCCCGTGGAGCGGTAGCAATCGAGGTTGTCTGACTTTCCGTCCGAGGCCTGTCGAAAGGATCCCGTTTGGGTCACTCAAACCTGGAGGAGTATAACAGGCAAAACCCTTTTCTCTGCGCTCAACAACTATCTGTACAACGGTAGAGGAGAATTCCTCGATATCGAAAACTCGACCCTCTCCGAACCGTCTCATCTCAAGAAATCCGAACTCACGGCGGTACTGGCTCCACCGAGGCTGTGCAGACGACTACTATGCGGAACCCTTTCAGTCCGAGCAAGAAGAATGGGCGATCGAAGGATGCCCTGCCAATGACGAACACGGCGGATCTCAATCACCTAGAATACGCTCGACCGATTCCAAACTCGACGAGCTACGAGTCGTATCTGGATGTGGCGGTCTCTCCCGAAAACAAGGACTCGTACGGGGTCACGAGCCAGCGAGATACTCTTGAGCCTCCTACATCCCTCGCAGCATCAAGGCGAGCTTCGAGGGAGACACATGTTCGGCTTGATGATGCGGCTTCGGATGAGCCTGCGGTTACCGGCGTGGACGAGCCGAGACCCGAGGAGAACAACCTGTTCAAGATGATGATCGCCGACGTCAAGGCTCTTATTCAGATCTTCAGGACGATGAGCTGGAAGGAATTCTTCAAAACGATGACAAAGCGATACCTATGGAGTGAGTTATCGCCCTGTTTCTCGTGAGACTGTTTAGACTCGCGCTCAAGACAGCTCTTCCTCGTTACAGAGTGGTATGCTCTCCTGGTGATTGTCGTGGTCGTCACGGTCTTGCTATCTTCGAACCACAACACCATTGTCAACTTTATGAAACCGGTCGGCAGCAAGATCCGAAGCTGGCCAGGCGGTTGGGTACGTCTCGCCGCGCTGAAATCTCGAGAAAGCTCCTCGTTGACGTCGGACGCTCGTTCGTAATTCGTTTTACAGCTCATTCCCATTGCCGTGCTTGTGAGCTTCAGTCTAGCCACGGTCGATATCGTTGGAACACCGCTGAAAATCTCGCTCATATAGATCATCTTGTCCTTCCCTCCCTTGGTCGGTGAGTTTGCCTGGCTCATTTCCCTTGCTCCCCCTGACCCCATCTGACTCGCTTTAATGATCTTTAGGCCACGAGGTTGTCGGTATCCTCATTGGTGTACTCTGGGGACTGCACATCGGTTTCTGGATCCTGGCCGCCGGTACCTTTTTGGGCGAACTGGCCACCTGGTTCGTTTTCAGAACGTTGTGTACGACTCGTGCAGACAAGTAAGTCAACAGATACGCAGCCGAGGCTAGAGAGAGTGAGACCGTAGCCGAGCTGATTGTGCGTGCGGTTGTATAGGTTCGAGAAGAAGAACAAGTATTACGCGGCCCTAACTCAGCTCATCCGGGAGAAGAGTTTCTTGTTCGTCTTGGTTCTACGGTTCAGTGCCATCCCTGGTCATGTGACCACGGCACTTTCCAGTTCTGCCGGAGCCAACTTTTGGAGTTATTGCGCGGCCGCCATCTTGACTTTACCGTGAGTCGGTCGGAGCGCGCTGCTGAACCTTGGAACCGAGCTCATGCGATGGTCTTTCGGCTTTACAGTAAACAACTCAGTTTAGTCTACGTCGGTACAGCGTTCAACTCGCACAACAGCACCACCCACGCCGTCTCGATCGTGACCTTGATGTTGACCATTGTCGGGACTGGAGTCGCCGCGGTCTACATCTACTATCAGATGCGTATCTACCTGCTCAAGAAGGAGAGGTACGATCGAGCTCTTCAGCTAGAATTGGACGGCCGCGATGGGGACCCCGAGATGGTCATGGTGGACAACACGGCTCCATCTGCTATCGGAGCTCGACGGTCCCTGGACGGAAGGGAGTTGCGCGAGTACTCTTTGGACGGTTCTTATAGGGACGAACCTTGTCCCGCTTCGGCTTACAAGAGAGCTCAGGAGACCAAGGCGACCCGTCGCCCCTTCTTGCACTCGAATTCGTCTTTCGGGGTGTTTTCCGGGACCAGCACGCCTTCGCGATCCAAGTCTCTGCACGAGCGGGATGGACCTGCGATCTCGGAATATCTGCGAACAAAAAGGATGGAACAGGCGACCGAAGGTGGTATCGCCGGTTCTGAGACGCCAATGGTGGTGGTATCTTCCGCTGTGGACGATCATGTTATCAATCCTGGCAGGACGTCGGAGAGCAACGAAGGTGATCGGATCGAGCCTCTTTTGAACCCATTCCGGAACCCCACCTCAACGACCACCAGGCCTCGATCGGACACCAACGCGTCCAACGCGTCCGAACGACTGTTACAGCAGTACAACGAGATCGTCGAGGCGGCCGACGTTGTCAGAGGGACTGCTTCGCTCGACCTTTGGAGGCCTGCGGATATGAGCTTGCACCGCCATGGACAAGCCCAGGACCACGGACGTCAGTACCAAGATGGCCCAGGGGCAAGGTCCCGCAGCCCGCCTGTATCGGGAAGAGAGATCGCCGAGGAGGCCGACCAGTTTGCTGCTCTACGAGGAGCTCCCCGACCCGAGCTCGGTCGGACAAGAGGAGAATCGAGTGCGGCTCTGTTGGGGCGACCCGATCTGGACGATTGAGGAAGAAATTTTGCATTGCATCGCATAGGTGCTTCTTAGGCTCAGGTTGTGATCCGTGCTCGTTATTTGCGCACGCTACCCAGGAAAGGAAAATGTACCGGTCTTTGTCTCTCGCATCGTGCACAACTTGTAGATCTCGTAGAAACGTTGAAAATGTTGGATCCAAATGTTTCAGCCGCAACATAGCGCGTCGAGGCCTGCATCCTCAGGGTCCTCTGGTCTCAGCTCGCAGCCAATCCCACATCGGCCGACATTACCGGACCGACCCCGCCGGAACCAGATTCATCCCCTCCACCATCACCCGTCAACTACGGAACGCCGGTATACGTGACATCGACCTTCGATCGATTCTACCCGCCTGTGGCCTGTGGCCTGTATATCACCTATCCGTCTCGTTTCGTCACCCTTCCTCAACCTACACTCGATCAATGCAGCAAGGTCTGCGAATCTTCGTACCTCTTGCAAGAACTTTCAGTCGATCCTCTCGACCTATACCCCGCGCCTTATCGTTCGCACGCAACTTTACCAGTGCAACACCGAAAATGAGCTCTTCTCAATGGAAACAGGTGGGCTATGGGCCGTTTGAAGACTGTGGCATATGGGATGAACGCTCATTCTGTGGTGCCTCATTTGCGTGTTCTCTAAAATCAGGATGACCACAAGTGAGTCGTTTGTGGTGAAAAGTAGCACCGAGAAGTACCTTACTCACGCCCGCTTTTCCCACTCGAAATTCTCAGGCTCTTGGTGTATGTAGACCACCAGTGGCAGACAGGTCGCCCGAGTCACGACTAATTCACACTCCCCCCTGACAGCATCCCTGGACCTATCGAGGTCGCTGATGATGTGAGTACGAGCGGCACTTTTATTGGCTCTTAGCCAAACTGACCGCTGTTCCAATCACCTACTAGGTCTTGCTCGCCAATGCTCATCGTAAGCAAGCCATTTCAAACAAGTTTTTCGGCTTTGATGATGCTTACACTCGCCCTCTCCTGTCATCAGCCTCGATGTCGCACGTCTCCCCAGCCTTTGCTCCCGTCTTTGGCAACTGTATCAAGCTGCTCCGTAAAGTGCTTTATACCGAATCTGGTCAGCCGTTCTTGGTCGCCGGTTCAGGTACTTTGGGTTGGGACGCCGTCGCTGCCAACCTGATCGAAAAGGATGAAAAGGCTGTGAGTCGCAACTCGTGCTCCTTCGACTTGGATTTGGCTGATCATCAGGCCCGGTTATGATCGTAGTTGGTCTTGAACACCGGTTACTTCGGTGAAGCCTTTGCCGATTGTCTTTCTCTTTACGGTGCCGATGTCACTCAACTCGGTGCTCCTCTGGGAGGTGCTCCTATGTTAGTACACGATATGTAAGGATGCAGGCTGTATATGCTGATCAATCGGTTTGTTCCGCTCGTCATATCAGCAAGAAGCAGATCACCGAAGCTCTGAAGAAGGACAAGTACAAGGTCTTGACCTTTACCCATGGTGAGCCTGTATCAGCGTACACGGTGAATGAGGATATTTATTGAAACATGCATCCGTTGTTTTTGCGATAGTCGATACCTCTACCGGAGTGCTTTCGAACGCCAAGATGATCGCTGAGACCGTCAAGGAGGTCTCTCCGGAGACCCTGGTGAGCATCAGGCCGTCATACTCCTGCCACGAAGTACATTTGCTAATGATCATATCGCTTCGCCACAGGTGGTCCTCGATGGTGTCTGCGCAGTCGCATCCGAGGAGATCCGATTCGACGACTGGGGCATCGACGTTGTCATTTCAGCCACCCAAAAGTAAGCTTTCTCTGACCTCGACCAAGCGCTTGGACACAGCGGCTGATAAAGACCGTCCTCGTTCAGGGGTCTCGGCGTGCCTCCTGGTCTGAGCGTCGTCGTGGCAAGTCAAAAGGCTTTGAAGGTGTTTGAGCAGCGCAAGTCGTTGCCCGCGTCCTACTACATCAGCTGGGCCAAATGGTATGTGGTAAACCAAACGAGCGACGGCTTGAACACGCGCTGATCGTCTTGATCGTCTAACAGGCTGCCCGTCATGAAGAACTATGAAGCTGGTACTCCTTCCTACTTTGCGACCCGTAAGTACGACCGGGTCCGGTACGCGGCAAATGTCTCACTTGGACCGGTTCCTCCCCGCAGCTCCTGTTCAACTCATCTACGCCCTTGAGACCTCGCTCAAGACCATCATGGAGGGCAAGGTATCGCTTGAAGAGCGATTCAAGATGCACCGTGAGACGAGCGTCAAGTTCAAGACGGCCATGAAGGATATGGGTTTCAAGCTGGTGAGCCGCCTTTGTGGTCTACGCACTCATCTGGTTGGACGTCGAAATGCTGATGCGAAACGTGATGTTAGCTGCCCCTCTCCGATGACACCTCTGCCAACGGGATGAGCGCGGTCTACTTCCCGGATGGTTTCAAGGCGCCTGATATCCTTCCCAAGATGCTCAAGTGAGATCTCGGCCTGTGACATTGCTAGCCGTAGATGCTCGTGCTGATCCCACTTGTCTCTAGGCGTGACATTGTGGTCGCTGCGGGTCTCCACAAGGACGTCAAGGACCGATACTTCCGAGGTACGTCGCGCCAGTCTGATAATGTTCTATCATAAAAGACCCTTCCTGATCTTGTTCATCTCCCTCTGATTTGCACACCCAGTCGGCCACATGGGTGTCACCGTCGTCAACCCCGAGCGTGGCGACATGGAAAAGATCATCAAGGGCATCCAAGATTCGTTTGCCGAGGCCGGGTACAAGGTTCCTTCCGGCTCGGCTTGACGCCAGGCGAGGGGTGACGAGATCCCTCGTACAGCAGCCAGAGCCAAGTTGTAAATTGAGGACAATGGGACGAGCTCGATAGGTAGGAAGTACTGTGTAAAGACGAGCCAGATATCCAACAAATGACAATGACAAACAGAATGAGAAGGAGAACGGCGTATGCGCATGCCCCCAGAGCGACTGGGAGGCCCTGAATCGGTCCTTTCTCAGCGAGACAAAAATATGCCTGCCGCAGGTTTTCGCTTGTGTTGTGTTTGAGATGCGCTGACCTAGAACAGACACCGGGCCGCAATACCGCTTTCACTCGAAGGGTCTTTTGGACATGGCGTGAGCTGGTATGTGGCCAAAGGCCAGCATTTGAAGGTGTTTGAGTTCGATTGATGACCTGATCGAGAGAGAGCAGAACGAGGGAAAGCTCGTGATCGATCCAAAGGAGGTGTGTCGAGGTGGAGGTTCCGCCGCGCATGAGACGGATCGTCAGTCCGCGTCGGGGATCGACAATGTCCGGGCTCTAAGCCGGGCACGATCGTCGCACAGCTGTCTAGAGCCCGTGGTGTGTGTACGTGACATGCACAGCGACAGAGCGACAGAGGAGCGACAAACCTCGCCTGTGTGTACCCTGTGTTCTGTTCTGGAATGATCCGGTCTGATCGTGGGAATCGAAGTTCCGATGGGGGTGAGACAAAACCAGCGGAGGCATTTCTTCCCTCGCTCCCAGCCCTTGCAGCGCCACACGGGCATGCCTCTGTGCTTTTTCATGTGTCGGCAAGCGCCGGCCGACGCGGAATCCGGTCGTACCTTTGTGGCCGATGACCTCCACCTCTCGACCTCGCGATCTCCCCCTCCGCGATGGATTTGCCTCTCGGCTTTACAGCAGTAGTAGCACTACAACTCGATACCTCTGAGTTCACAGACCGAGAGACAAGGCGTTTGTCCGTCGATGTGTCGGCTTTCGGTTCTTGCCCAGGATCTGGTGCGTGTGTGACCGGGGGGGGGGTGGTGGGTTTACTATTTTTCCTTTTTGTCTGTTTTTTTTCTTCCCTGTTGTCGGGCCATTCACGCCACGTTATCGGTTCCGGGGATCCACCCCGTGCGATTCCCACGAATTAGGGAATGGGAATCTGTGGGAATCGGGAGATCCATCTCTCCATCCTCTCCGATAACAACTGTACATCCAACACATCATCTCACCCTCACAACCTTCGACCCCCCTCCTCGGGGCCGTCACTCACCACCTCCGTCTTCCCATTTACCGGCGGCACTCACTCGATGACGGGACCGCTAGGTGGTATCGTTGGCCAAATATCCCGCGGCAACTGAACAGTCTCGCCCCTCGAAATAAGATAGGAAAGGACAACATCCCGGAAGCTCGGCACTCCTTTTCATATAGCGGGGAGGGGAAAAAAGCCTCTGTCTCTCGCAAAACTCAAGCCGACAATCCATCCTCTAGCCTTTTCGTCAGCTCACACGAATCACACATCACTCAGATGCCATCATGACGGCAGGAAATCGTTGGTCCGGCTCTTCTTCTTCAAATCCTCCGCCACCCATCCTGCCACCATCATCCGCCATCGACGCGAACCATCCAGATGCAGGTGAATGGTCGCATCAGCAACAGCAACAGCAACAAGAACATCATCCTCGACCTCATCCCAATCTGCCTTCATTCGACAGCACCAATGCCTATCCATACCGACCTTTTCAAGATCGACAGCTGGCTCCGTTGGCCTATCAGCATGTCAACGACGTGAACCAGGGAAACCTGACCCTGCCGTCGATCTCGCATTCGCACATGTCCACGGGCGGGTCAGGCGCATCGCGATCGCCTTTTGGAAGTTCGGATGCGCTGGCTTCGTCGTCATCCTCCATATCGAGGTTCTCTCGGCATGGCGGCGAGACCTCGTTGGAGCCACTCGCTCGTCCGCAACACGATGGCGCATCGACGACGTATCCTTTACAACCTTTTCCCACGTCCGATGCGTTTCACCCTGGAACTACGTTGCCACGACCTGGTTCGAGCCATGAGAATACCCATGTAGGGTTTGCAAACCTGCTCAGTGCAGAGAGAGGCGGGATCGCTCAATTCGAGTCGAGACGAGGCGGAGATGCCGCAGGTCGGGGTCAGAGTCAGGGTCAGGATCAGACCGCTCAGTCTGTCATGCACACCCCGAGCGTAGTCGGATACGACGCCGAACTCAAGAGGAAACGATTCGAAGACGAATACACCGACACGAGTAGGACACGATTACCCGCACTGCCTGGATTGTCGATGAATACCCTGCCGCCTTTGCCGCCGGGATTCGCGCCTATGCCGAGAGGAAGATCACGGTCGCCTCTGGTCGGCTCATCGTCATCCCAACAACCTCGTGACCATCATCACCAGCAGCAGCAGCAGCAGCAAGCAACACAGCAAACAGTTAACCATCGAGACGCCACCCGATCGGGGTTTCACCTAGTCGGGCACGATTCGGCCGAGGTCGATCAGTTAGATATGGAAGTAGATGGAACGGAACGAGGCGAGCCCTACACCACGGCGAGTGAGTTGGGGCAGAACAAGGAGGATGCGAGAAAGGAAAAAAATCGGGATAAGCAGAGGAGACTACGAAGTGCGTTCTTTGCATTTGTGCTCTAGCTGTCATTGATTGCGTCTTCGGGGCGAGGCTACTGACGATAACACGCTATATTCGCTTCTCTTCGTTCTATCGCCTCTTTGCTGTCGCGCCATCCAGTGAGACGCGCCAATCAGCTACAATCTCTGGAAACCACCGTCAATACACAAGACATCGAGATCAAGCGGCTCTCTGAGCGATCACACATCTCTGAAGATCGTACCCGTCATACTCGGGCGATCTTTTCCGACTGGGTAGATGCGCTCGAAAACCGTCTCAAAGATTTGGGCGAACCGGAAGCCGCTATCGAGAATCTGAGGAATCAGTATCTCGGTCCGCTCAACGCGTACAACCCAGAGTTTGGTGATACCGATTCGCCGTTTGGGGGGACGAGCATGAGCAAGTCGGCTTCGTCTAGTAACAGGATCAGCTTTAGCAAAGACGCATCGGATAGCGCTTCAACCGCGCCATCTACGGACCGCCTTGCCCCGATCAACGCGAGAAGTGCTCTCGCCTTGCCTGCCAATATCAAGGGAAACGACCAGTCCTTGTCCCCGCACGCCATCGCCTCGCTCGTGACCCCGTCCGAACACCCTTCGCGCCTTCCTCAATCAGAGACTCCCGATGCCAATCGTCTCGATTACGGTGGACTGTTGCGAAATCCTCCTTGGAACTGGAACCCCGATACGGGGCAATCATCTCCATACCAGCGCTCTTCATATCCCTCTTCATCCCAACCACAGCATGTGACCGAGCCCAACCCTGAAGCAGCTATTAAGGCGGAACGCGAAGTTGAGTCTCGCTCAACACAACACGGGCAACAGAACGATCGTCACGACGATAGTCGTGAGGCTCCAGCCTTTACGACTGAATACCTTGCGCGCCTTCAGGAAGGCGAGGTTTTTGAGATGACGGAACCACAGATCAGCGAGATTGCTCGAGCTCTTACAAGGCAGAGACCCTCGGGAAGCAAGGCAGATCTGGAAGCGCTAGGCCAGAACACGATCGACAGTGCACCGCCTTGGCGGGATGACTTCACCAGCGCACAGATTCTACTACTGGGCCGTGCCCTCGGTATGGGTTCAGAGCAATCCCCTGACATCAAAGAGCGTTATGTTGAACAGAGGTTATCGACATTGAGCGAGCACGAGAAGGAGGTGTACAAGAATTGGACGAGGAGAAAGGACCGGGATCAACGCATCGAACTGCTACCGGATCCGGTGCTGAGGATTCGCTTCATCATGCTGCAAGAATCGAGATCAAAGGGCAGCTCTATCATCGCCTTTCTGTCCGATCTCCTTCACGAGGCATTGTAGGTTTGCTTGAAACCGACTTGACACGCACGGCCCACTGATCGATGTCCCGGCACGATATAGGTTCTTCGGACCGATCTGGTTGACACACCTCTGTGAACTGGTAAGAAGCATGCTCCAGCACAGGAGCTATTCGCTGGATGAAGATCGATACCGACCGTCTCTTCTGCCTTCTGCATCAACAGCCTGAGAGTTTCCTCCGTCGTTGGAGCAACATCTGGCCCAAAGATGTCGACGCTGCAAAGCATTGTGCTCATTTTCGCAGGCGCGACAATCTGACGGGTGCACGAGTCTTCGACATCATTCTGCATTGCGAGTCTTCGAGAGCTCGGAAGAGAGCCGACGAAATCGATCTGGCCGCATTTGCCAGCGACACAAACCCGTAACGACCATCAAGCGAGCAAGCCCCTCTGCATCAGGCGAGGCAAACAGGCCAAACCCTCCGCATCGACTCAACCTGCATTTCAATTTCGATTTCTAGATCGTTTACACATCGAAATCATTTCGAGCGGTCTAGTTTCAGATACAGTGTGTAGCATTATGAACATGGGCTCCAACCCGCCTTTTCCGTCATTCGGCTGTCGTCGCGGATCTCCCTGAATCTGAGACATCTCGCATCGCTGCTGTTCTGATTCAGGGTAGTCGCGTCAGCCTTGTCTACGCCAGGTGCTTGGGCAACGGGGATCTTGCATACCTGACAGTCTCTATTTGGAAGGCTTGGCGACCGAGATCGCGCTTTGACCCTTCGCAGGCTCTTGAGCGAGCCTTTCCAGAAGACTCAGGTCGAGGACCTTGCTGACCTTTTTCAAGGTCGCTTGACCTCGAGAGTCCTTTTTGCCCTTCGAGTCGGGCTTGGTATGCTGATGGTTGCTCTGGTGATGAGCCTGAGTGGCGGAGGAAGAGGACGACTTGGGGTGCTTGGTGACGACGGTAAAGGTGATCTGTTCGTCGTCATCGCTGTCGCCGTCAAACTCGGCGTCGGGGATGTAGAAGAAGGCCTTCTTTTGGGTGAACGAGTTCATGGATTGAGTCGATCCCGTGGGGGAAGTGGTGGTGCTCTGATCAGAGGCATCCGAGGCGACGGACGAGTCTGAAGAGGCTTTGCGGATGTGAGGACGGTAGGTGGACATTTTAGGGCTAGCGAAGTCGAATGATGAGGTGAAAGTCCTTTGTAGGGAGAGCGAAGGACGGATTGGCGAAATAAAGGTAGCTGTAGGTGGGTTGAACACAGGGGAGTTCAGAGAGGAGTGGGATTCACCGCTGATCAGATCGTCAGGCCTTTATGTTCTTCAGACGATCATCCTGTCAACCTATCAGTCGTGAAAGGGGACCCGCTCACCCATTGTCCATGGGGGTGTGCGATTCGGACTGACCTTAGTGTGGTTACCCCGCGAACGCCTCCTGACGTCGTCGATCAGGGAAAAGGCGGGGGGTTGGGGGCCTGTCACGCGTAAGCCACCCCCGCATCGCGCTTGTTGATCTGCGGGATCTACAGGATCTGCAGGTGCTGCTACGGAGGGGGATCCCCTTCGACGCCGGTCTAGTTTGGATGTTGAGACGTCGAGAATCTGGGGTAAACAACTCCCTCGTCGAAGGGGCCACGTCATGTATGGCGTGCTGACAGGATCTAAATTTACAAGGTGACAAAGGGTCATCGCTAATCGAGCCAATTGGACGGTCCTACCATCTCCCACGACCCCCGGCTGAACCCCCTCGTTGTCCCCCACCGCCGCTGTATGGTCCATCGTCGTTCCAGTCCAATCGGGCCTGTTGGTGCGAGTTGTCCATGGGCATCATGTTCATTGTAGGGGTTAGGCCGGTCATGTCTGGCATTGCTCCCGTGATAACATTTCCCATGACATTCCCATTCATACCCGCTGCAGAGCTCATTTTTTCTGCTGTCGCATTCATGAACCACATCATGACATCTGGCCCTTCGGGAGGTCTACCATGGGTATTGATCCAGGCCTCGCCCAATACTTCCCACGTTTTGGCTTCAGCAGGATTGAGCGTCGTGATGTCGAGGTCTTCTAGCTTGATCAGTGATTTGGTCCGGATGGCATGATCCACAGGCTGTACGGGCAAGAAAGTTATCAATTCAATGCCATCTCCACTATTGCGTTATGAGGGAAAAAGAACTGACCTTTGGACCAAGATCATGCGCAGAGTCTGTGCGCGGCCGTTGATAATCTGGCCGATCCCGCTGCGGACTGGCCGACCGCCTGGAAACGACATCTCGACCAAATTCGTCCTTCCCTGGTTGACCAGCGCCAGGTAATGGTGCTCTGCCCTGTCGAACCGCCTCGGGTCTGCTCATAGTACGGGAGGGCGACCTGGACCTGGATCTACCGTGAGGATGAGGTCGCCATGCCGAACTGCTCGATGCAGCGTTTTGATTGAAGCCGCCTGGGTTCGGTGGGCTGTTCCACCCTCCTCCTCCGTTTCGCATAGGATATCGATCGTTTCCAGCATTCCTGCCACCTCGATCGGGAAACGGTTGTCCTCGCGAGGGACCCTGATGATATTGTGTCGCTGGCGGTGCGGCGGAGTAGTCGCCTGTAGGTAGTGTAGGTGGCATGTCCGAAGGTGGGGGGATCGAGGGTGTGATCGTCGGTGCGCTTTGCGCGTTCGGACCTTGTCCCATCATGGCAAACTTTTTCGCAATCTCGTCACGTTTCGCCATGGCAGCACCCAGATCAGTCTGGCCTGGGCGTGCCATCGGTATCGGTAATGTGGGAGCGGGAAGCGATGCGATCTGGCCAGGTCTGTTTTCCGCAAAGCTGTTGCCTATCGGGTTCGCTGCGGGTGGAGGGAACGCAGCGTTTTGTGGCGTATTCTGAATTACGCTCGGACTGTAGGATCCCTGAGCCGGACTCGCAGCAGCGTTCTGAGGCGGAAGGATACCATTCAGAAACGCCAAGTTCGTGGGGATCGGGACCGTTGCCGAAGGAGATCCAACTTGGTTCACGGCAGCGGGGCTAGCGGGTCCCGAAACAACAAACGCACATCAACATCCCGATCATGTTCTCTACTGCCCAGCATCTCCACTCACCTGGCACTCCCGACGCTCTGTATCTGGGTCGAAAGAAAGCTGAGGAAATCGGGCATGATCGGGGGCGTATCTAATCCAGGGTTCGCGTGCGTCAATGCGATTACGGCATGGGAAAAGCGAGAGAAAGGCGAAAAAAGGAAGATCACGTATGGTCAGCCAACTTGCATTTTCAAACTATTTCAGCCTGATCCAGCCGTCTCCAACGCTCTCGACTCAGCCGCCAGTGCCTTGTTGCAGGGAAAACGAAAGCTAGCCATTTTTTCACATCTCGACCCCGCCCTTGTAAATCTCTTCTTCGCTTTCTCCGTCCTCCTGCCTCTCTTCCTTCGCTGACCTGTCCTGAACACCAGTCGACTTTCCGCCTCTAGCTTGCAATCTGTTGCCCTCGACACCGCAAGGCCTCGACCCGCAAAATGCAGGTCGCCATCGTCACGCCATCAAGGTGGAAGCAAAGAGTATGCAACTGTTTCTCTCATTTGCTCGGCTATTCATCTCGTCTCACCCTGTCTGCAGGGTTTGGGACGTAGTGCGCGAGAGAGAGAGATCGTGTGAGGACGCAGAGAGAGGTCGGAATGTATATCTGAAGCAATGGTAGCTACCGAATATACAATCCCTTGTTTTTCTTCGGCTTCTTTTCCACGCTCGCCGAGGGCAGTCACTTGTAGCGTGCGTATCGTCGCAGCCGTAAACAACGGCGACCGCGGTGACGGCATCGAGGCTTCTTCATGCTTTCTTCTTCGTGCTTTCTTCTTGTTCCTCTTGTAATTGTGTCGTGCTCGTGCTTCTGTCTTGGTTTTTTCCCTACCGCTTCGTGTCCAATCCTTGTAGCCTCGTTCGATTTGTCGTTACCTTGCTCTTGATCATCGTCTTTGATAGGATCTACCTGTCTTGAATGGCACTTCCGTCGCTCGTCGTCATGATCGCATATGACCATGATCGTGGTGACCAGCGCGCCGCCTCTTGCTTGCTGTTTCTCTATGAAACGCAAAAACAAACCCGAAATCCAACCCCAACACCCGGCTTCACGCTATCCCGGCCCGACCCGCACGACTTGTGCGAGATCGACTGGCACCCGAACCGAAAGAAGAAGAAGAAAAGACAGAGATCGAGACGGATATTCACCTGTTCCCCTTGTAGCTCCAGCAGCCGGCCCGTCCATCGCCACAACCCCATTCTCTCTCCCGACCGTCTTCGCATTGGGAGGACTTCCCGGTGGCGTAGTCGATTGCAAACCGTTGTTCGCGCTACTTACTCCCGTTGATGTTCCCGTCGCTGCCGTATTTGATGTTCCAGTGAGAGCGGTCTGATCGATGATCCCCTGAACCCTGGCTAACGCTGCCGGGGAAAAGGTCTGGGATTTCGTCCATATATCGAGGATCTTGATCATCTTTTCCTGTGGGTTTTGACGAGTCGAGCAGGGTGGTAACGGGATGTTGATGGGTAGTGGGTGGGGATCCGCATTGAGGTCGTGTGATGTGATTTTGATGAGAGTCGAGAAACGATGGTGAGGAAAAACACAATAACAGGAACAGAAGAAAGGTACGGTCAGCGCGATTCCGCCAATCCGACCGAAAAGCGAAAACGAGCAAGGACGACGTACTCTCCCCTCGGACCATCCCTCACACATATCCCTAGCCCACCCTTCCAAGATCCCCTCGACCTTGCTCAAGAACCCTCTCGCCAACCCGGCCGTCTTTCCATCTCCGTCCTTGTTTTTATCCTTGTCTTTGAGCTTGTAGACCCCTCGGCAGAGGGAATCGAGGATGTAGAGAGAAGAGATCTTGGCGGAGGATCTGGGAGGGAGGGATTTATGCGTCTTGTAGAGGGTTGTTAGGAGGGTGAGATCGTCCTGAGAAGCACAAGAAAAGGAAACAAGTTGCATGTCGGAATTAGCACATCGGTGCGCGGGATATAAGAGGTTTACGAGGGAAGAGAAGCTCACCTTGAGGAATTTGACGCCGGTCTGTACGATCTCTTGTACCTTGCCACCAGACAGACGTTTCGCTTCCACCGTCTGCTTCAGTAACACCGTAAAGTCCTGTCCAGAAGACGAACATCGCGTTATCCATGTGATCAGCACGAGTTGGGTCAGAGATCGAGATTACGCCGTGAAGCTTGAGCTCACGTCGATTGTGGATTTCTTTTCCGACATCTTGGGAGACGACGACGTCAGTGGAGATGCTAAACGGCTCGAGAGCGTGGCGGTTGCCGGTATGTCGGCCCGTATTTTAGTCGGAATGGCAAGTCTGATCGGTTGATGGTACTATCAAATACATTGCAAGATGTCCACAGCTGCGCTGACGATTTCCTTTGAAGTCCTCGAGGTCCTGACCAGGGAGAAGGGGATATCGCATGTGACGCGTGGGAACTTTTGACGCTTGTCGCCTTAAATACTGACGCGGTGGGTGACGTAATCGTGAATCGATCGAGTGCAAGTGAATGGGTGGAGGTCGTTGCTCGTTGTTGCTAATCCCAAACGGTCGACAAACGCTATAACCTCGACAACATCGTCGAATCATTTACAGCCTTTGAAACATCTGATCACATCGACGGGTCTGCCCGCCTCAGGACTGCCATCTTCTAGTCGTTATGGAAAGAACCACCACACCGCCACCCCCACCGACCGAGGACGAGCTCGAGCGGTTTCGACAGGAATGGCAAAAGGAATTGCAACAGCAACGTGAACAGAGGCAACGGCATGGGGATGCAGCCACCCAGAGACAGGCTGATGCACACAAGGTTGCTGTGGCTGCCAAAGCTTCCCCGTCTGTACCTGTAGCCAGAGCCGAAGCTGGGTCTGGGATCGAGACAAGCTCGAGCGCATCGAAGAGCAAACAGCCAGATAGCCCGCACAAAGCGTACAAGCCTACATCCCCAAAGTTCACGAAGAACGGGTCAGCGAATCCAGGACAGGCTACAAGTCAGCCAGAATACGAGCTCCGGGAGGGCGGGTCGAAACCACAAGCGAAGGCACCTATAATATCGTCACCATTATTATCATCGACATCAGCAGTATCGACATCATCAATAACCGCATCGACATCGACATCCGCGTCGAAAGCCCTCCATCCCAAACCTCTCCAAAGCTCAAACTTAAATGGGAAGAAAGTTCAGCATCAATCGCAATCCTCGGTGCAGAATGTCAAGACGACTCAAGCGGTGGAGCAGTATGCAAACGCCGTGGAGCTCGAGCAGATGGGAAGGCTGAACGAGGCGCTGCAGGCTTATCGGGGAGCTTATCGGTTGGACGGTTAGTCTTGTGCCCCGTTCCTCGGGAGCAAGGTGAATGATCATGTTACAGAAAAGCTGATTCGATTCGACATATCGCTATGGCTGTGTTTGGTTGAACGTTACAGTCCAAGTAGAGAAATCTTATCACGCCTGGGTGACAGCCCAAGAATCCGCCCTCCTGGAAAACCTGGACGCTCTGGAGCTGACGGATCCTAAACAATCCATCGTAGGGTCTCTAGCGGGCGGGTATGGGGCCAACGACGAGGTCTATACGTTTAGGACCGAGGTGCAGTTGGATAGGGATTACGTGCCTAGGAGTAGCAGTGTCGTCCAGGACGGAGCGGCGACGGGGTCGAGTGGACCTGGGACAGAGGCTGGAACACGGGCGAATGGAGATGGAATGACAGGGTTACGGGATCGGAGCCTAGATTTGGGGGTCGGGACGAGCGGGTCATCTACGCCCAGAGAACCGGGTGTGGGGGATCGTAACGACCCTCTCACCCGGATCTTGTTCTCGTGGTTAGAGACCGCGCGGGAAGAGATCCTACACCCACCCATTCCTACCGACCCACCTGTAGCTTCCTCTTCGTCCACTCGAGTCGTACCGACATACAAGTCCCCTTATTCTGCAGACAGGCTGCCCCAGACGATTCACGATCTGTATCACCACCTCCCTCTCCTCCCCCTGGAAGAGAAGGACCCAGATTCGGAGATCTTGTTGTCAAAGCTCCCAGAGGAGATTCTGGAGAACGTCGTCGAGTTCATGGATGTGGCCACTTTGGAGAGGTTCGGGTCGGTCTGTAAACGGTTGAGGGTGTTAACTCGCGGAGTGGGGAAATGGAGGTACGTTCCAAACATCTCCACATCACATGTTCTTCACCGCTCCTTCGAGTTTGGTCCTCCTTGGGACACCTAGTTGACAGTCGTCTTGCTTGATCTTCGAAAATTTTGTGCTGCAGGACCCTCTGCCGACAGATCTATCGGCCTCCGATCTTGCCACCCGAGATCTCACTCTCGACGCTCGTCAAGCGGCACGGGATGGATTATCGGACGACTTTCTTGGAAGAGAGGAGGGTGCGGTATGATGGTGTCTATATCAGCGTGTGTCATTACATGTAAGTCTTGTCAAGTGTGCGGCCTGTGGCCCTCAAGTTGAGGAGATCGGAGTGAGCACGAGGGCTGATGAATCAAAACATCGTCTGGATTCTGCATGTTACAGTCGGCCTGGACAGAGTGAACTCGCTTGGGTCAACGTGAGTCATCAATTGGGTTTTGCTTGGTGTGAGCTGTCGCCTGATCGTCGTGGATCTGCGTTATCTTCATTTCCGCCTGTCTCGTGCAGATCACCCACCTTAGTGAGTAGCCTCTTTCGCACACGTTACGGAAAACAGGAATACTGAGATCGAATCCTGACTTCCCACTAGTCACGTATCACCGCTTCTTGCGTTTTTACCCGGACGGGACCGTCATCGCGCTTTTGACGACCGATCAGTGGGTCGTCATCATGGATCCCTCTCCTGTATTGGAAGCTGACTTGCACCATGCTTTGCTACCGACAGCCCGGTCGATGTGGTACACAACATCAAGCCCTCATTACGCGCCAAGGGAACGTTGATGGGTCGGTGGTCACTATCTGACTGGGACCCCGAGATGGAAAAAGACCGCCCGCCCTTCCCCGTAAATGAGCTCGACCCGGCCTGGCCTCCAGACTCCCGTGCCGCCAGCAAATCCCGAACGTCTGCCTCTCATTCTGCCCACGCGCAGCCTCACGCCCATGCCACGCACCCGATCAACTTGATCTCTATAACGGACCTCATCGAACCGGGCGTGGCTCATCCGAAATACTCGTTCGAGATGAACCTCGACCTGCGTTCGGCCCAAAGAGGAAGGTGGAACAAGCTCGTCATGCGAGATTATCAGAGCGTGCGTTTAGGGACAGGGGAAGCGCTAGGACTGAGCTTGAAACATCAGAAACCGTTCTTCTTTTCAAAGTGAGTGTCCGATTTACAGGCAGGGCGGTCTCGTGACGTGAAAGCTGATACGCCTTCGACTTCATCTTGATTTGCTTGGGGAAACACAGGGTCCGGTCGTATTCTAATACCCTGTAGATGATATTTTCGAGCATAAGGCTGGGTCGCTGTATCCATAACCATACCCAACATTCTTTGACAGCCATAAAAAACACCCTTCACGGTCGAGGAGAGTACAGCTGTGCGTGTCAACACCCTAAGCCCTTCTGTCGCCCTCGGCTGCGTTCGACACCCACACGTCCCCGCGCACATTACCAACGAAACGGTCCTTGAGGTGATCGATACGAGACCAGCTGCGTAGCACTATTTCCTTTGGACAAGTTGCGGTCGAAGCGCGAACCTATCCATCGGTCGCATGACCGAACGACCCTGTTTAACTTGCCGTCGGCGAGCCCGTCCAATCTGTCTTGGGAAAATTTGCGGCCGTCAGGGAGATCGGACGTCCTGGAACGAAGCGACTTGCGTGGTCTAACATGGCTCGGAATGCAACCTCCGGGCTGAATCTCTTCACAAAGTTCCTTTTGGCCTTTCAAGCTGGGCAGTGTCGATAGTTATGGTAGATACCCAAGTTCTACCACTACATGCCAGCTCTCCAACCCTCACTTCTACCGCTCTTTGTCCTTATGAAGACGCTCTGTCAAATTGCCAAAAGCTGCTTACCTGATTCCCGTATAGCCGACGACCACTCATCATAACTTTAGCACTCGATCCAAGTCAAAGGAAAGGACATCATCAAACCAATCGAAATTCACAAGGCTACAGGTATGTTTACGTTCAGACGAAATGGAAGGTTTTAGCAAATCGCCCATGCGGCGTCTTCCGTCTTCTCTTCAAACCAATCTTACCTTGAAGCGCTGGGAGACATCAATGCGATAAATTTTCTTGCCAATCTGCATTGTATGAAAGACGACTCAGTCGCTTTAATAGCGAGGTTCGATAGATATAGCCCCCAATGCGAGGAAACTCAAAAGAACTACCTGACAAGTCTGACGCTTGTGAGTGTGGGTGGTGGTCAGCTTGTCAGGCGCTGGTCGAGTTATTAAGTTTCTTTGCAGGCTATTGGGAAGCCGGGCAGCATTGAGCAAAGGGAACAACTTGTTATCTTGACGAATTGGTGAAGGACATATCGTCGTCTTTGCTGTCGTCATCACCGGGAACTTGAAAGCAGTTCCTGCGCCTAAAAGAAGAATGGCATGATGAACGAACTGAAAGTAGGGAATGGGATAATTGGCAGTCACACCTACTTTTCAAGCACAATCTCCGGTTCTTCGTCATCCTCTCTGTTCTCCTCTATCCAGCAGCACAAGAAAGCGAACCACATCCACATTCAAAGGATGGGAGCGAACATGATTTTGGTGTTTGGTTGGTTTGTCTGTTTTGTGTGTCAAATGTTGTGGATAGCCTGTGAGCTTTGAGTAACTTGCAACTTGCAATTTGATGTGGTAAGGAGATAGGGGTAAGGCCGGGTAGGTGGTGTAAAGGTTTATAGTTGCTCAGAGTCATCCTTTATGCACACTAACCCGGATTGTCCGAAATGATCCGATGTTGAGAAAGAGGCAAGTCCTGCTTCTCGATGTCTTCTCCACTTGGTGCGCCACCCGTTGTCTTTCTTTTACCTTCCAATCGCAAAGCCCTCTCTTGCACAGTCCTCTCTCCAAAGACCTCCCCCGACAGTGAGAAAGAGATCTGTTGGGAGCAGATCACTTCCCTCATGGTCATTACGGGACCTTGTCTGCAGCATGGACTCCTGCTTAGGTGTGAGTAGGTGAAGGCTTTATTCATTGGAGCTTGTAAAGTTGCAGAGAGCTGATCGAAGGTCGAGTGCGGATCAGCGACGCGCCTGTTTGTCTGATGGGGGCACAGGCACACTTTGCCTTATTGTGGAAGGTCGTCAAGTCTTCTGGACTCTCTGACTTGCAGCTCTTTTATCCCGAACAGATGATGTTGAACACACAGGAGGGCAAAGCACTCATCTAGACCCACACAAATGGCAAACGTCTTTTTGCCATCGGGGAAAGCAGCAGACGATCGAAGATCGAAGAAGAGTGGTGTTTGAATATGGCGCTATCGAAATATATATATACAACAGAAAGACCCTGTCCTCGTCCAGATGAAACGCCTACTTCTGCCCCCGCTCCTGCTCCTTGTTCCACGCTTCCAACTTTCTCAAAGCCCCCCTGATATCCTCAATCAGATCCTCGACATCCTCGACCCCGATGCTGAACCTGACCAACCGCCTATCGATCGTCTCGTCGCTCATCGCTCTCCATTCTACCAAGCTCTCTACGCCGCCAAGGGAGGTCGCGTGGTGGAAGAGCTCGAGGTAGGAGGGGAAACGACGGGCCATCTCCGGGGTGGCGAGGTGGAGCGCGAAAACGGGGCCATAGCCGTTAGGCATTTGAAGGGGCAGCCAGGCGTTGGATGGGTCACGAGCTTGAAGGGAAGCGTGGTAGAGTTTGGTAACATGGGGTTTGATCAGGGAGACGTCCGACGCTGCCTTTTCCTCGTCGTCATGGGTGAACTTGTCGTTCATCCCCTTATCCAACCAATCGACGATCTTATCCGCGTTCCTACTCTGCCTAGTCACCCGTAATTCCAACGTCCTCAACGACCTGACCGTCAACCAACTCTCCATGTTCCCCATCACGCTCCCCAGGTCCATCCGGTCCATCCATAAACCCTTGAACCAGTCTTCCCTCTGCGGGCTGGCCACGAGGACTCCGCAGAGCAGGTCGCTATGCCCGCCGAAATACTTGGTACCGGAATGCATGACGAGATCAGCCCCGTGTTTGAACGGGTCCTGCAGTCCAGGAGGTCCAAAGGTGGAATCCACGACCAAGAACGCTCCTCGGCCATGAGCCTTGTCGGCGTAATATTGCAGGTCGTAGGCTTCCCCAGTCGGGTTGAAGGGGGTCTCGATGTGGATCACGTCGCCCGGGGAGAGGTCCTCGGCAGGGCAGTCGAGCGGGATCTTCGTCACTCCGGTGAGACGGTGGTGGATGGAGAGGACGCCGTGGGTACCATGATAGCCTCCTCCGATGGATACTTTTTTAGGCTTCAAGTAGGTCTATCATACGGGAACGCAACAACAATACAATGTCATTGCCGTCAGTTCGTTTGATCAGCCTGCCTGCTGACCTATTCGTGGATAAAGCAAGGATCGACTAACGTAAGCGGCGAAGGTTGCACTCAACCCGCTCGAATAGCATAACGCTCGACCACCACAGATGGACGACAAGATGGCCTCCAAGCGGGTCGTATTCGGGGTGGTCTCGCGGGAATAGATATGGGTATCTCGATGGGTGAAAAGCTATAGCATAGCGTCCGGGATGAGTTTTCAGAGAGGAGCCAGCGATGTAGGTGGGTGATCACGTATGGTACATTAGTTCAGCCTCGACTCGTACAGTAGACACAAAAAAACAGACGTCGACGGTTTCCAAACTAGACTTACATCGCAATCCTTGGCTTCGACCAGCTTTTCGGGATCCTTGTTGAACCTATACGTCGTACTGACGTGCAAGGCGGGGGCTACATCGGTGATCTCGCCATCTGCCGAGGCGGGGAGGGTGTTCAGGGGATCGTCGGCGTGGACGCAGAGGGTCGATTGGGAGTGCGAGTCGGCGTTGGGAGACATGGTTGGAGAGTGAGATTGGTGGTGTGGTGCTGACTGCCGGCTGCAGATTCTTGAATAAATCAATGCTCTCTCCCTATATATACAAGTTCGATCTGCCAGCAAAACGACGGACCCATGGATGCGAGTCACTCCTTCGCTCGCTCGTATAAGTCGAAGAGTATCAAGTTCGAACTTGCTCGGCTGTAGCACAAAGGATCATCAGCTTCCGACAGGTACCGCACCATCACACAAATAGCTTCCGTCCAGCGGCTTCCTGCGGCGCATCCTCGGTTGTGGATGGATGGATGGGTTGGCCAGGGGCGGATGAGCAGGTAGGGAAATTGAGGAAGATGGAGTTGTAGGGTGATCTCTCTCAGTTGAATCGACTCTAGCTACTAGACTGGTATTCGGAGCATGTATATCCTCTTGCATGCGCTCGTACTCGTGTTATTAGGAGGCCGGAGAGGCAGAGATAACGAAACGGGATATCCCCGCTTTTGCTTCCGACAAATATGCTTCCGACGACGGATGGATGGATGACGATTGCCGAGAAGGGTCATCAACGGAACGACAGGTCATGGTTGTGCTCGCGACCTCCTCGTGATCGTCGAAACATATCTCACCCTCATTCTTCAGACATCGCCACCTCGCAAATCTCTGTCATCATCTTTCATCATCAAGTCCACAAGCTAGCTGTCCTCCGACGTCCAGCCCCCGAGCGTTCTGGCTTCGATTACCCTTTGTCAACAACACCGCCACTCCTCGACACGTATCGCGAAGGCGAATCCAACCTTACTTGCATATCATCACGACCTAGGTGCTATAGGCCTCCATTCCACGCTTGAACTTAGTCGTCAATAATATTACAACCACGATCAAGCGGACAGCCAAGATGGTCTGCTGATCACCGCTACCCCGTTCGACCGACATCAGCCATGGGTTAGATTATCAAACCCCGAACAACAGGATTATTCCCCCTGCTTCCTGCGTCGTGTCTCACAACATTCTCATCCCGATCTAACAAGAAATTTAGTACTATCGATCACGGTGAAACCGTCGGAACATATACTTCTTGGGTAGCTCGTCAAGCGTAACGGGTAAGCGACTCGCGGGTCGGCACTCTGGACAAGATAGGACAAAGACGGTGCAGACCAATTCCGAACAAGACGAGTCGGGCCCCATCAAGCCATCGAATACGGCCAACCACGAGATATAATACGATGAGTCCGCCCATCCAAGGTCGGAGCGGGAAGAGCAAGAAGCCTGGCAAGGTCGTCCCAGTCGCAGCTACAGAAACGACCGGCTCGCCCATCCCATGTTCCTCGCCTTCGTCTTCGTCTTCGTCTTCTTCAAACCCGAGTACGGCCTCGGCCGCAGCATCAGAATCAGGAGAAGCGGGTATGGGCAAGGAAATAGAGGAAGAGCAAGGAGAGGAAGAAGAAGTCTACGGGCTGGACGGACGGGTCATTGACAAGTCTGCCCGTGGACCTTCTTTGAAGAAGGGCTCGGTTAGGGAGAAGATCGAGGATAAGAGAGAAGCTGTAAGAAGGCACATGCAGGGAGATAAGGTGGAGTTCGGGAAGATGAGTGGGAATAAGAGGTCGGAGGATGTGTTGCAGCCGGGGATGGGCTTGAGAGGCGGGTCGAGGGGCTTTCGTAAGTCTCCAGTTTATGACTTACGATACCGGCGTCAGTCAAGCTGATCTCGATCGAGCTTGTGATCGTTGTTCTTTTTGCCCTCCTGTTCAATGGCGAGAAACAGCTATCCCGGTCCCGTGAGTATAAAACTTGTCGAAGGACCAGGATTTCAAGGATCAAACGACGCTAATCTGGTCCAAACCTAATTCATCCTGTTTTGAATGCTAAAGTGCTCCGTCTTTGAACCTCCTCCGATCACTCAACGGACAACTAGATTCCCTTAACCTCAACCTCAACCTGGGATTCCCACTCCCGAATCCGCTCCCTTCCTTGGAAAGATGGAGCAAATACCTCTTCACACCGAAAGGCGAGAAGAAACAAACCTTGTCGTCGGCCAATGTCAACCATAAACGCGGGAACGGCGAACGTAAGCATGAGCGGGAAACTCGGATGAGCGACAATGAAGATGAAGTGGAAAGCGAGGACGGGTTCGACCTGATCGATGATATCGAGCTTGACCCGGATGGAAGAGGAGAGGCGGAGAACGGATCGGGGTCGAGGGTGTATACCAGATCTTTCTGGAGCCGAGCCGATCTTGCCGGACAGCAACCATCCCGAACAGGGTCGGGGTCGGGGTCGATGTTGGTAGAGCTACACCCGGATTCCTCGACCGCTTTGAGAGTTTGGGACTGTACCGGACTGGATAAGGCGGGGGCGCACGGGGAGGGGGACGTCAAGGGGAGCGTCGTATGGGAGAATTCGCCGAAAGAGGTCTTCAGCTGGGCCACACGGCGTGGAGAACCGGTCTTGGATACGGCTTTTGTAGGAGCTGGCGAGGAGTTGAGGATGATACGGCTGTAAGTCGACAGGTGGCGAAGTTTGATAGCCGGAAAAGATCTGATGATGTGGGGGCTTCTTCACAATATAGGGTACTGTCGACTATCCGGACGGGACGAGGCGAAGCGACTGTCAAGCTCGAAATCGTCGATCCTTCTACAGGAGAGGCAGAGTTGACACGGGATTGCGGACAGGCGAGGAATGGACGAGTTCTCGTCTCGAACAAGCATATCGTTGTGGTCAGTACCGAATCTCAAGCCGTTATACAACAGGGGTTTGCTGACGCGGATGTGGAACCATAGGCCCTAGCGGGAAAGGTGCCTTCAATATCGTTTTTTGCGGCAGATACGCTCGAGCCTCTCTGTAGGTCTATCAACGAGGACGTCGGGATCAACACAAGATCGGGTCTTCCTGTGATAGCTTTACAAGGGAGGCTTCTCGCCTATGTGACTTCGGATGCTGCCAAGACCGGTGCGGACAGCTATAATCGTATGGAGGAAGCGCGATACGGGAACATCGTCACCCAGCGATCCGTCAAGGCCGCACACGAGTGGAAACGCCAGATGTCGTCTGACGAGGGCTCCTTAATGACAGGTTCCTCACCCGTGGACGACCGGTACAGCCCGGAATCCTTGCCGTCGATGCAAGCCATGGTAATGAGCACAGCCGCTGGAATCTCGTCCGAGGTCGCCAAGGGGGTTTGGAGTGGGCTGAAAGGATTCGGCAAGGCCGCTATGGATGGAGCTAGCCGATCAGAGACGTTGAGCAAGAGCGCTCCGGTGGTCAGCGAGTTTGCCAAGCGGTTCTCTAAGGAATCGTCTCCTCGTCCTGGCTCGCCCGGAACGAATGAACACACACTGGGCAACAGTCAAGTCGATGGTGAAACTCGCGCGAACGGCTTGCGACCCCGTCGGTTCCGTGGCGCGTCATGGATCAAGATTGTGGACTTGGGGAGACTCGTCAAGTCTCGTCGACCCGTCGCTTCCGAGGTCGAAGCGGCTCGACTTCGACCTAGCCTGGTGTCTCACTTCGCCTTGCCTGTGGTCGAGAACGTCTCGTTGCCGGGTCATGAAATGCCCGTAATCGATATCATGGCCTTCTCCCCCGTCGGCACGCATTTGGGTATCGGTACATCGGAAGGCAAGATCGTCTCGGTCGTCGAAATTCATCCATCGGCTACCATAGGCCAACAATCAGGAAAATCCAACTTGGGTTCCGGTCAGGTATGGCTGCGCGGCGAGCTGAAGAGAGGAGTTACGCCGGCAAGAATTAGTCAGCTGGTGTGGGATCTTCGTGGGGATCGCATCGCTGTTACCACCCGCAAGACAAGTCGTAAGTACAGCATTCGAGGTGCGCAAGTTGACCGCTTGGGCTGACGGTTCTTTTCCCCCATAGACGTTTTTCCGGTAGGATCCCTTGAGCACCGGTCGGGGACAGGCTCAGGACAACTCGCACTATCAGCGAAATTATCAGCTTCAGTAAAGATTCGAACATCGGAATGGATCGTATTAGAACCAGAACGGCAGGATTGCTCACAGCCCAAGCGGAGCGAAGCTTCTTTGTTGCAATTCATCCCACACGACAGCACTACCCAAGCTCAGCACTCGGTTGTACTATATGATCCGCTGCAACGAACATTGGGTAAAGTCTCGGTGTTCAAGCTGTCAGGAATCTCTTCGGACAAGCAGGAACACATGCTTCCTATGGCAACCGCGCTCTGGAGGTTACCGAAGGACATTCCTGTAGGACAGGTTAGAAGGGAGAGTCCGTATGGTGGACAAGACCACAAGGTCGATGGGAAGCCCAGGTACTTCGATAGCCCTTGCTCTCTCGGTCGATTCGGTCGAAATGGTTCATCGTGCTGACATCTGCTCTTCCAAAGGCACCCTTTCGCCCAGGTCGAGATCGTTACGTTCTCCCCGTATGACGTGCCACCAAGCATCTACAAGGACAGGCTGTTTACCTTTTCGACCTGGTCGTCATGCAAGCCTGATGCCACTCGCATCTTGCAGTTCCGCAAGCAAGTCGAGGTACTCGGTCAAGGAGATTTACACCACATCGAGAACGCCCTTTCCCACAACCTCGATATCTCGTCAACGGCTCCGATCGTACCCGCCTTGCCTAATGGAAACTATAACGGCGACAAGAGTCAGTGGCGGGTTCAGCCTATACGTGTCATGGCATCGGCGGTCAAGAACCGTAGAAGCGGTCGCCAACAGTACGGCCAATCGGACAAGCGGCTGGAACGCGGTCAAGACACCGATAGCGGATTTTTAGTCGACATGAGCCACGAGGGGCCGAGCTCTCCTCTGTCGCTCGAAATCAGTCAGGAAGAGTCTTGGGAGGATGACCTCATCGCTGGGGTCATGGACGACTGAGCCCTCTCATTCCGGTCATCAAGAGGATATATTGCATCGTAAATATCATATCGTAAATAAGTAACAAAGTCATCAGGGATCGTTCGTGTACATTCCCCCACTAGCATCGTCTTGCCTCTATCATTAACGACCAAACCAGGCCGAGATTTGTTGTATACATTGAAATATCGTTGTAAAAAGTCGTTCAATTCGCCATATTTCACCGGAGCGGTCTTGTAGAAGCGAAAGACCAGCTTTCCTTTCTCTCTGCCGACTCAGCAAGCCCCTTTGATGGTAAAGTGAGCGGGGAACATGATGACGATCTTTTTGCGCAGGTCGTTGAGGTCCGCCATGAATCTAGCCGAATATTCGGCATACTCGTTGGGATTCATGTTGAGGCCATCGATGACCAGTAGCTTCGACGCCTGGTGAAACGGAAAAGATCGCTCAATGGTCGTACTCATTCACCTCGCCGGAATAGGTCACGACTCACCTCGGGCATCTGACTTCCATCGGCATACATCAACTTGCCTACTTGGCGCATCGTCGGCTCGGTCGACCATGGGGACATTGGCAAATCGACCAACGTGGTATGGATCTTGCCGAACGATCCGTTTTTGCGGACGGTCTCTGGGACGTTGAACCCAGCTTGAGGATCGAGACCTCGTTTGGTGAATGCTCTAGATTCCGAGGATGGTGAACTTTCGTATCCCGCCGGAAGCGAACGCGAACCGAGAGGGAAATATACACCTACTTTGACGTCAATTCGACCCATGCCGCCACGCCTGGAGCGAGTCTCCAGAGATTCTCGCTAGTATTCTGTTGTCTCGCCATATCCGCCTTGATTTGGTCCAAGTCACGGCGATCTCCAGCGTCCAGAAACCCACCCTCGATGAACATGTAGAGGCCGCCCGGTTTGAGAACCCTTGCGATTTCTCTGACCAGCGCAGGGAAATCGCGAATCTGGAGGTGTAGATGGGGTGAACGTTTAGGTAGGTAGATTGGGATGGTTGGGTGGCTCGAGAAGACTCACGCCCGCAACAAGAAGTCTTGCGTGGACGATATCGATCGACTCGTCAGGATAAGGTAACCCTTTCGTAACATCGTCCTGGACGAATGATACCTACGTAAGAAGGAGGGTAGGATGAACAGAAGTTAGCTGGATCGTTGCTTGTTGCTCCTTTCTTTGCGACGAACATTTTCTGGTACTTCGTCGTCGCTGCAGATTGAAACCGAAGCATTGTCAGCTTACAGTGTGTAGGAGGACAAAAGCCGCACAGTACGATCATTATGCTCACTTGGGCTGGATGGGAACTAGATCGATACCTGCAGAGGATCGAGTTGGGGTTAGAATGAGGGTATCAGCACCGAAGGATCCTCCGCCGCGTACAATACGATACTCACCGATAAACTCCGCCTGAGGAAACGCCCGTCCGACTTCGATAGCCCATAGACCCGTGCCTAATACAGGTGAGAACCTGAGTGATTAGTAAACTGATCGGTGTCAGGCGAGGTAGGGACAAGTGAACTTGCCGCATCCGATATCCAAGACCTTCTTTCCGGGCTGTCCTTGTAGATGTTCATCCACTGGTCCGATATAGTTCTGGCCTACTCGCTGCAGAGCAGAAAAGGTCAAGCTTTGAGCACACTGGCGTTCCTGGCTCGAGGATGATGTCGTCGAGGCATGGCCAGAGGTTCACCTTGCGATAAGCTACGTGCTGAATGTTCAAACGGTTGATCTCTTGCATATCCGCTGGCAGGCTATAATCGTCCTGAGCCGCGTTATAAAGTCGTCCGCCATCCTCCCGGAACCTGTCAGTCCAGAAGAACGCTCTCTGTAAGTCAGCCAAAGGCATCCAGAGCTCCCGCAGCTGCCATGTCGAGTCCGGTTGTTTGGCAGGCTTAGACCCGACTCACGGTGCGGTATGCATACTAGACGTAAACGTAAACGAACTCCCCGTAGGCGATCTCGGCGGCGTATCAGGTCTTCGTAAGAAATTGAGGTCGCCGTAGCTCGAGGATCGAGGGTCAAAGGAGGGTGTATCGTCGTCGTCATCGTGGTAGTGGTCGTATCCTGAGCCCGTCATGGTTGAAGGTCGTCAAGGGGCGTTCAGAGGGGCTCTGTATGGCAATGCAGGATCTAAATCTATACGCAGAAGATCATGGTATGACTTGAAGAAGAGCCGTTGATAAATGACAATCACGATTGAGCGATTGATTCTCTTCTGTTGGGCAGGCAGAGTACAGATTGACGATGGATGGGCAAACTTTGAAGCGCAACTTTCCGTCTTGTTTGAACCGGAATCTCTCTCTCAGGCACGGAATCATCTCCTCAGCCGTGCGTCGATCACTCTTCGCCCCCGAGGTGGCCCGGCCCGGCCGAGGTCGACACTTCCTTGGCGAAAGAGAAGTAGGCGACGACGATAGACAATACACCACATCGTACCTTTCTCTTTTCAGCGACAAGACCAATACACTCTAATCTTGAGACATCCATAGACACACTGATTGACCCCTTGACATTCAAACATGCATGGTTCAAAAGACCCGGAAAGGCAAAACGAGCTACAAGTGTCTAAAAGGTCGAAGGGGACATGAGAGAGGAGGGGAGAGGAGCGAAGGGGTGTAGTGGGGGAGCGACAAGTTTACTGCTGGGCCTCTACGGGGAAGGAGAAGTGGACGTCCTTTCCTGCAATGTCGAAAAAGAAGTCGATGTCAGACCGCTGTGATACAATACACGACTGCTCCGAAAACGAGTCGGGACTAACCGGTGAGGTTCTTGTAAACCGAGGTGAAGGTGTCGAGCTTGTACTCGAGGAGGTTCTGGTCCTTGTTGTCAAGGAAACTGTCGCATCATACCACCGGATACAATAAATCAGCCTTCCCACCCACATGCTCGCCTGGCCTGATTTCATTCGCATCGCGTGTACTCACGCCCTGATCAACTTGGAACCGTCGACACCGACTCGGGTCCTCTTTCCGACAATCTCCGAGGGGAAGACCAAGTCCTCCAAGATCTTCTCGTGGACGGCGGTCAAGGTCCTCGATCGGGGTCGCTTTTGGGTAGACTTGGTGCCCTTCTTGGGCTTGGGGAGGACTCGTCGCTGGGCGACGAAGACGACGTATCGGTCAGAGAGCTTCTTCTCGAGCTCTCGGGTGAGCCTGTGGTTGTTTTGTACGGTAGAGCGTAGCGAGTAGGCGAGTAGGCGGATGGACAAAGTCGAAAGTTAACGGGTAAGAGGAGGGTGAAGTGAAGCGTTCACGATCAGTCCCCTCGTTCATCTTTCGTATACACGATTCTCGTTCCATCCAGCGAGAAGGGAAAATTCGGGCAGAGTCTCCCCCCGTTTTTTTTTCGACATCTCGCTCTCGTCTCATCTCCATCCCGCTGAGACCAGAATGAACTAGTCTCTAGCAAATTTCCTTCTATCCTTCAGCCGAGCTCTCCTTCCCAGCCAACCTTTCACCTCCTGCTAAGAGGGGAAAAATTGACCGCAAAGAAAGAGCCCGTCCCAAGGCCCCCGGGATCATCAACCTCGAAAGACCATCCACACTATCCCCTCTGAAGAGGAAGTGCGGATACCAGGAGGGGGACCCGACCCGACACGCCGTACGATATTATTAGGGGAGGCGAGCCTGAAAAGTCTCGCCGTCTACCCCTCGTACGGTTCTCCCTCATCGTCGAGTGGATGATGAGAGAGGTGTGTGGTAGGTCCCCGTGGTCTTTCGAGATCTACCCTGAGGGGAGGTGTGGTGGCCGTGGCGCACCGTCTTAACCGAATGAGGAGGTAATGTTGGTGATTGGAAGCGAGAGGAGATGGGGGGGGAGATGATGTCTTTGCTGGCTGCGACAAGACAGAGCGATCACGACACCGGGAGACGGTTCTTCGACTCACCTCTGCTGGACCTTGTGGAAAGCCTTGAGCATGGGCACGGGGACAAAGACGACGATGGCCTTCTTTCCTCCCTTGACGTCGACCTCCTTGGCGGCGGAGATGGCGAGCTGCTGCAACTCGGACTTGAGCTCGGGGACGTTGGTCTCCAAGTCGAGGATGGCCTGGGCGACGGTCTTCTCGATCTCGTCGGCGGGGCCGGCGGGGGCGTTGGCGGTACGTTGAACCTTGGAAGTGTAGGAGGCCATTTTGTCCTGTCGCGAATGCAAACCCGAGTCGAATAGATGGTCTCAGAATCGGTCCGTTTGGGCTCGACGATTCGACAGCGTTTCCGGGTGGACTGACCTGTTTTTGTGAGTACTCTACCGTCTACCGAAAGAAATGAAAAGTGTGCTGTCCGACCGGAAAAGGGGCCTCCTGATGTCGACGTTCGTGCTGCCAATTCCATCCAATTCGATCTCGACATCATCCGACAGGGTCGGCCGACGAGCGTGTGGACGAAAGGGAAAAGCTCACGCGCGAGGTCAAGACGTTGACAGATGGAAGCGCAAAGCGCGTTGTCCGGCTGTTTCCACCTTGAACTGCTAAAGCTAAGCGCGTATATCCACCCCACAACCTGCTGACGCCCTCCACTTATTTCACATTTTCGCCCTGCCTCCGCGAAGTGTTTCAGATGCGGTGGTTCCCTTGAAACCCGGTTTCAGCTCGATGATATGCGAGGTCAGCCAGTAGCAGTATCTCTGATCTTGTCCGAAGTACGAAACAAAGTGATGTTATCCAGATCACACCACAAGGGTGCCTCAAAAGGTTACTTGGTCAAGACCGCTCTAGCGTGTGCACCGAACTCCTCCTGGATTGCCACACTATGTCAACTAACCCGCACCCAACCTCGACATACCGTTATATTCCCTTTCATCGCCGACTCTTTGACGCCATTGATCATACCTGCTCATGCGCTCTTGAAATCGTAAGCGATTTTTTGCTTCTAGTCAGACATTGAAGACGCTGACACAATCTGCTTCTATCGTCCGAACAGATCATCACCGTCCTCCGTCCCATCCTGCAAAAACACCCCAACCTGACACCTCAAGACGTCCTCCTTACAGTCTTCCTCACATTCATATCCCTCTGTCTCCTCATCACCTCGTTCGCTGATGGATGGTATTGGATCGGCAATGCTGTCGATCTAGGATTGTTGGGATGGGCGGCATGGGAAGGGTTGAGAGGTTCGAACGAACGATACGAAGAGGAAGATGGATGGAAGAGGCGCGTAGAATTCGTCTTTGAGTACACGACCCTGAATATCGTCTTCTCCTTATTTGATGACCTCGTAACTCTGGATTTAGGGATATGGATCTGGGTGGGAAGGACGATCAAGATTGTCTGGTTGCTCTACCGGTGGATGGGTGAAGGGCATAAACTCGCGGGTGGTAAGGCACCAACCGGCCCAAAGACCGAAGGAAAGCGGAATACAGGATTTGAAGATGAAGAAATCGGACCGAATACGGTAATGGTCAAGGCGAGGAGGATGGTACATCAAGCTAGTCAGACCGAGCCCGTGTATATCCATACTCTTCTTGGCCCCGACCTCAACGACAACCCCAGCCCGACAGCATCGTCACAGGATACATCCAAAACAAGAGACCTTCTTCCATCGCCACAGCTTCTGCACCTGGAGGAAGGGCCGGATTCTTTATGCACCCCCGAAAGGGAGACGTGTGATTCTTCAGGCTCTTCAGACGGCTCCGGTTCGGAGAGTCCGAGTCTCAGTGCTGATTCGGAGGGTACTTGGAACGCCGAACGAGCGGGTAAGGCCGCAGAGTTGGAAGAAAAGAGCGCAGGACCAGATTCCCCGCAGGTTGCACGCGACCAGTGCGATCATGCGGACGAGAGTGTGAAGGAGAGGCAGGACGGGCAGAGTGTCAAGGTCAATACTGCCAGCGCGACGAGTCTCGAACAGGAGGAGAGAGAGGTGGAGCCTATGGGAATCATCGATGAGACAGACGAGCAGTCCGCAGTCGGGTCACAATCACGTCCGAGCCTTGAGCTGGAGGAAATTGCGCCGATAAGGTATCAGAAGAATCTCGAAGACCGCGACGAGATGCAAAGGAAGTCCAAACTACCAGCCAAACAGCCTCAAGAGCCCTTTGTGCCCATTATACCTTCTAGCACACCTGAGCAGACTGCTCCCGACGAGGGCCAAAACATGGCCTCTGAAACCGTGCATCCAGTGATCCTCGCTCCGCTAGCCCCTCTCCGGCTCTCCCGCCGCAAATCAAACGGCAAGTCCAATCCCACCATACAACGCGGCACTCGCATCGCAGAGGGGAAAGAGCCCGCAGAGGAGACGACGTACAAGGCTTTACAGAGGTTCCGATCAGGTTTAGCCGACCTAGATCCGACCTTTACTTTCGATCGACGCCGACAGGCGGACGGCAATGGACGTGCCACCACGGGGCACAGAAGGGCCCGGACCATCGATGTAAGGATGAGCACGACGGCAAGGTTGGACGAACTGTTAGGGTTCGAGGACGAGTTCGGGGCCAAAACGTAAAGGATGCGTGCGATTGCGTGCATTGTCAGTTGACACCTATGTACTGACGACATGATCTTATGGCGGAAACATGGAAGCGGTTCATTTCGATTTCATTTCCCTCAATCCCAGTCGATACAGTCAGATCACTTCACAATCTTCTAACATACAGCATGGGTCTTGCCAGTCTTCGATTGAAGAGTGTTGTTGTCCTTGTTGCCGGACTCGTGACCATGGTGGTGCTTGGCCTTGCTCTTCTTGTGCTTGGAATTCAACTCGCGGTGAGACTCGATTGCTTCCTTGGACTGCTTGTCTAGGAGCTCGAGAGTCTGGACCAGGTCGCGGACCACTGCGAGAGGCGAACGGGAATGTCAGCGCCCGAAGCTTATAGCTGTATTCGAGTCATTACCCACAGGCATTGCATCGAGATCGAGAAAAGTCCATCCTGCAAACGACTCGGAGTAGACGGAGACTTTCAGCCTTGGGGGCCATGCTGCAAGAAGGAGCAGATATTCCGTCAGAGCTCATCTCTGAAGGCATCACGATCGGATGCTACTCACGTGTAAGCCGGAACGATCCAGTTTCCACGGCTTCGCAAGGTCGAAGCAACATCGTACTCGTTGAAGTGGTTGTCTCCCTTCAACCTGAAAGCTACGAGAGGTAGCGACTTGCCCTGTCGAGGGTTCATAATGGTGAACCTATCGTGCGTCGTCAAAAGAGATTGGTATGAGTGCCAAGTAGCAGGCCTTGAGCCGACATGTTCTATGATACGTACCTTCCGGTAGCCTCGAGCTGAGCAGCGAGGTAGTCCGAAGTCTCGGTGATGGATTGCATGATGGCCCTAAAGCCAGATTTTCCGTTGCGGATCAAGACTGTGAGCGCTTACTATCAGCATACGCTCCAGATACGTATATCAAGCCCGATATCTACATACCATAGTATTCTATAGAGACAAGGAGGTATAGTCAGCACTGGGTTTCGGGTCGGTGTACGACGGGGTTGACTTACGTCCGACAATCTGGGCAGCAGACTTCGAGAAGTTCAAGGTGAACGAAGCCTGTTAAATATGATGTCGATCGGTCTCGACGAACCAAAATCAGAGGGACCGGTCCAACTCACCTGATCGGCTCCAAGGTAGTTGCTACGAACGGGCGAAGCGACGTGAGTGAAGATAAGTCAAGCAAGGCTCATGATACATACACATGGAAGATCAAATCCTCGGGCAAGTACTCTTTGCTCCTCCAGAGCGCCCACCCAATTCTGAATCGCAGATGTCGATTGGATCAGCTAGGCTCCCAACTTTGGCTTGCTCCGAGTCTTAAACCCACCCGGCGTAGGTCATTCCGTATTTGTGACCACTGGTGTTGATCGATACAACCCTGGGCAACCTGAAGTCCCATTCCAGGTCCGGGACACAGAAGGGAGCGACCATTCCACCCGAAGCTGATTCGACGCGCATCAAAATGTCAGAGCTAATTTCGTCGCCAGTAGCGTGAACATGATTTACCGGCGTCGACGTGAATCTTGATGTCCAAACCCTTGTCCTTCTCGAGCTGGTCGAGCTTGTCACTTAGAGTCTTGATATCTTCATACTCGCCTGTGGAGGAGCAGATGTGAGAGTCAGTGTTGCGCTCGATCCTAACAATGAAAGGCAGCCTTACCGGTGTACGTAAGACCAAGGATACCACAGACACCGATGGTATTCTCGTCACAAAGGTCGACCGCCTGAAACAAACAACCATCAGTCAGCACGATTAGTTGGAATATATACGGTCCACACAACTTACCTCTTGGGGATCGATGATGTATCGGTCCTGAGTACAGTAAACGTACCTCTCCTCAACTTCGAGGTATCGAGTGGCCTTCTCCCAACCTATCGGACGTCCAGAATAAGCTATATCACTCAAGATGCGTCGCTCAGGTATGGATTTATGTACTCACAGACCTGAACCGCGGCGTTCATAACCATGTTCGGCTTGTCATAAGGCTTGCCGGCGGCCTTCCGAGCGTGCTGCCACTTTCGCTTCCTATGAAATCAATCGGATTCAATCAGCGTCACCAAGCAAACGAGTCCAGCTGCACAAAGGTGACGAACATGGCAAGAGTGGCGAGGATAATAGCCTCGCTCGATCCGACGGTCGAAGTCCCAACACATCCCTCGCTCTCGCTCGTAGGCGCGTTGAAAAGGCGTCCGATCATGTTCACTATCACAGCGACTCGTTAACACTTAAATCGTGTTAGACTTGATATTTGTTCTTCTTCAGACCACTCACCACATCGGTTCTGCAGGTCGACCGTAGCAGGGTATTCTTCGTAATCGATAGCGTTCTTGTTCATGTTCTCCATCATCAGCTTTTCGGCGGCCGAGTCCATGTAGGTGGTCACGAACGAGGCCAGGTTGAGGGCGGGGGTTCCATCGAGCTGTCGTGTATAACGGTGCATGCACGCATATGTCGCGGTGAGTATAGATGGCTCAAAGGAACTTTCGTCAGAGGACGATCTGATTCACCTCGAGCTCATCGTGGACCAGCTGGTAGGCGGTCTCGGAAGGCATAGGCTCTTCCGCCATTTCGAACTACCAACGGCGATATCATACATTGCAACTGGTCAGCTTTCCTCTCGCAATCAGACGAAACCCATTCATCCAACTCGACTCACCTCTGGAAGCTCCCTGGCGGCAGCAGACGATCCATAGACCAAGCTGTCTACGTACGCGATGGGCTTCTTGGACTGGTCCTTGTGGACATCGCTGACTTCTCCGAGAAGGACCATGTTTGCTGTGTGTTTTTTTTTTGTTTCGAGGTGGGTGGGTAAAGGTTCGCTGGACAAGTGAGATCAGGCGAAATACACACAAGAAGCGAGGTCGGGCAGAGGTGATGATCTGCCCATGGGCACTTTATATGGAAAGCCTGGACATGGAATACGACTCCCCTAATTATAGCCTCCACCCATGCCATTCTCGGCATCAAAACGCGTCATCAAGGGGTCGATCCCCATCAACCACATCGTAAACAAACGTGCCACGGCGAAAGGCTATGCAACGGGTTCGTGACTGCTCAAATAATCAAGGATCCGAGGTCATATGTGTATTCATTCATGCATTAGAGACAACATGTTGTCATGAAGTCACAAGCGTCATGCCTTGTCAGACATGATGGCGTGCGTAGCATCAGGCTGTTCATCCAAACATCAGCCCAGCGCCTTGCTACCTTGCTCTGCCTCTGCCTTCTGAAAACCCACCTTATCCGCCTCGGTGGTTGCGATAGCATCCTTTTGTTGCTCGATAAACTTCTCGGCATCAGGCCCGGAAGCCGGCTTCTCCTTTGCCTTTTCGGCCTTTTTCTCTTGCTAAACCGTTTCAGGTCACATCGCGTTCAAAAGTTGGGTCAGCCCGGTGAAACCCCACAGTAAACAAGACCCTCTCAGCGGGACTCACCTTGCTCTTCTTGACGAACTTTTGGGGAGGGGGAGGAGGGGGGTAAGCCGATCGCTCGGCATCCTGGAAAGCCTGGTCTTCGGAGAAAGTCTTTCGGACGGGTTCCAACAGGTCGTTGATCATCTCGGTAGTAATCTTTTTCAAATCACCCGGGTGTAAAGCGCCCGAAGCGAAGTCGTCCTCGATCTGCTGGAAGGTCTGGTAATGCACCGGTCCTCCAAACCTGTCGTCCCGTACGATGGTCACCAAGGTACCCTCGGGTGCGTTGGGTGAAATAAACAGCTTATTCCTGTTCTCCGCGCTCGAGGGGTCCTCGCCACGCTCGACGAGCTGGGCTATCCGCATCGTCTGGAGGGGGAACAAGACGGCCTTGTGGAAAGACAAGATCCCGTTGTCGGTGATATTCTTCTCCTCGCAAAAGGCCGCCTTAATCTTCTTTTTGACGTCGGCGGCGCTGTCGAGGAAGTCGATCTTCGAGTTGGGATCCGACGACGACATCTTTCCTCCCGCCAAACCCGGTACCATCGGGTTCATCAGGTGAGCACGCTTGGCGTATCCGAGTCGCGGCAGACAATCTTGAGCCATGGTGAAGATTTTTCGCTAAAACCGTATGGAAGTCTGGGTCAGTATCACGGCGATCTCGCTCTCGCCTCACCGGTCAAGCTTTGTCGTTGCTCACCTGATCCACACCACCGAATTGGAAGTCAACACCGAGGTACTGCTCATCGAGAGCCTGCATACCGGGGTACAATAGACTGCTCAAGAACGGAGAATCCGACTGCTTGACGACCTCGGCACCGGCCTTGGAAGCATCGTGAAGGGAGGTGATCGAAGCCAGTCTGATATCCGGAGGAAGTTATAAAGGTCAGTGATTACCCCCGGCACCAAGGACTAACGACCTGTACTGACCTAAAGTTGTCCAAACTGTACTCCTTGCTAAGCTGGTAATCACTCCCTGTGATAAAGCTCAACTTGTCCGTAGGTACTCCGAGGGAGGTGAAGACGGCGTGTAGTAGCTTTGAGTAGTAGGCTACTCGGAAAGCGACTGTCTCGAAGGTAGCTTTGCCGGCGTCGAGGAAAGCGTGAATCTGAGCGGGTGAGAGACGGGATGGAGTTCAGAGCAGGCTGATAGATAATATGAACCTGGAGGAGTTGCTCGTACTCACGTCTGGAGGTGAGATCCAGTGTAGGTAAACCCAGAAAATATCAGATGAGGTTACCGGGGCAAGCTCAAGACCGAGGCTTACCGGCAAGCAAAATCTTGACCTGAACACCAGCCTTCAAGAAGTCGGCAATCTTGGTAAGAGGGACGAAGTATCCAATATGAGCTGACCAGGTAACCAGGTTAGCGGAAGTCTCTAGCAGAGCCAGTTGTTCAGCCGATGAGCTCACGTCGACCGGTCGTAGCGGTTCCTGCATGCGGCAACCTCGTTTATCAGCTTCAAGACGAAAAGTCCCAAGGATACAAGGAGATCCTCACCCCAGTAACAAGAGACGACCTCGTCCTTGGCAAGTTTGCTCTTGATGATATCCTCTCCGAGCACCTCTTGCAAGTTCCGGGTGATCAAGTCGTAAGTCTGCTGTTGTGCTTCGTTGAGGGAGATGGCCGGGGCGGCGGCTGCTGGTGCAGAAGGAGCAGACATCTTGGAAGGATTCCGTTCGAGCCGTCTGTATTGGAGATACTATGATTGATGGCAGGGCCCGGGAACTAAAGGCTTTCGGAAGTACAGTCACCGTTAGAACTTTGGGGTTTGTTGAGTTTGTAGAGGGCCCTGTATTTTCGCGTTGATGACTCGGTCATTGGCATTTACACGTCATTGAATAGCATTGAATCATTGGTCAGAATCACCTTATCAAACAGAAAGAGTACCGGCATCAATCAGCTGACGTCATGAAAATACGTAAGCGGATTTGATGCCGGGAGCGGCGGTGATCGTTCCCAACCCGGCCGGCCGATCAGCATCGTCCAAAGGCCAAAGGCCAAAGGAGGGTTCGAGATCATAAGGCAGCACTCCTTGCCACATCCAAAGCTATAGCAAAGCTCTAATCTGCACTAGCCATCTATCTTTTCACCGCACGATCCCGAACCATCCATCTCTACTCAAATTTATACGATGAACACTACGAACAACACGACCACCACCACCTCCACCACTTCTGGTCAGACTGTGGGTGAGAAGGGGGGTAACGCCATCACGGGTATCTTTCAAGGTAAGCTTGAAAGCGAAGCTCGTGTAAAAGTATGAGTCTGTTAGCTGAGTCTGCTCTTCACCACCTCCGTATCACTAGCCGCCAACGGTCTAGGAGAAGGTATCCGAGGCAACATCAACGCCTTTGCCGACTCGCTCGGTGCGGGGATCAAGAACGACCCAAACACCGCTGGTCAGGACACGGCCGCTCAGCGTCACAACGAGCAGGTCGCTGCGAGGGGTGCTGATGAGATGAGGTCGGGTTTGGATGGATTCAAGAGGAGCTAGAGGAGAAAGGCAGGATTCGGAAACTGGACGTGGCAGTGATTGTAGCTCGCTCGTGGACTTGCGACAAATATAATCATGATGATAAATCCGAGCCCCAGAAGCTGGTTACTCGTTCTTGTTCAGGCAGGGCAATGCTAGTCTCACGCCTGGACTGTCTACAAAACGCTCTTGCTAAGGACGTTGCAAGCCTTGATGAACATGCTGCTGTTCAAGAAGACACCAGTCAGGTAGAGAATGCTCCTCAGTTTGGAAGCCGTATCGTCCGTGATGAGGATGTAGGCGGCGTTGTAAGCCAGCCTCGACAACAAGTACGAAGCAGCGCTGAGACGTGAAACGCATGGTGTCGATCTGGTCAGCACGATTGCCTTTGCGATAAGGTGGGACAAGGGCCGGGGCTTACAAGGTGTTCAGGGTGGAAGCGGGCAACTTGGCGACGTTTCCAGCGAGCTGAGCAACAGGTAACACGATTCCATCAGCATGCAACAAAATTGTGGAATGGTCATTGGATCTTACCAAAGCGGCGGCTAGATGAAAAAGGCAACCGGTTCGTCAGTCTTTCGTCGGCGCCGAGAGCCAGTGGAGAGAGACTGCAGCCGACTTACCGAAGAAAGCGAGGTTCTCGAAGCCGTTCGACTGCGCTCCCTCAGCCCTGTCATACCCAGACAGATAGAATGATATCAGTGTCTTTCAGAATCGTCTTTCATCATGCCAAAAAACCTTTACCTCAAAATCATGTCCTGAGCCTGATAAACCCCCGTAAAGAACGAAACAACCAAGATTAGTAATGTTAGTCTGAGGTGTAGGCAAGAGAGAGAGAGAGAGCCCCGAGAACCGGCGTAGTGCAGATATAGCGACAGGGGGACTCCACTCACCGACTTTGAGATCTTGGCCGACTTGAAATGGTCGTTCGTCCATTGTTGACGGGGAGAAGCGTTGTTCCATTTGGGCGTTCCCTTGGCTCGGTAAGAGTCAAACAGACCACTACAATTATCGAGGGCAACGAAGCTGTTAATTTCTGCTCCAGAAGGGCGGACAACGAGACGATGTGCAGATAGGGACTCACACGGCCAAGAAGTGCGGGCTGATGGAGACCAGCCACATAGCGGGGAGAGCCCAAGGGCTGTAGTTGGCAGAGGCGAGGAAAGACATGTTGATGATGGTCTAGCAAAAGATGTATGGAGTGATCGTTATAGAGGTATACAGTACTATCCGAATAAGATCCCAGGGAGTAAATAGGTTTCAAAGCTGCAAGGGTCTAGACCTTTGTGCTTTTTGTTATGCAGACACTGCGTGCTGCACGCTGAACCCTCGGCGTCTGCTCTGCGCTCTGGATCGGGAAGGGAATTCTATCCTCGGGCCTCGGGAGATGAAAACGCGTCATTCACCGAATTAAATCTCAATCGGGCGTAAATGCCACCGAGGGCTGACAGTGACGTTGTGAATCGCTCATGTCTATGGGATCTGGGCAGGTAGTGATAATAGCTACAGTGGTAACACGCAAAGAGGTAGTACAGGGCGAGAATATTATACGTATGTTCCTGGTAGCTTGTAGGGGTATCGTGTTTGAATGTTATTGTTCGACCAGAGTGTAGGCAAACGACGAGACGAGACTTTCTTGTCCACGCCTTCCATATCGACCTTTTAGGCGTACTGCCTCCCTCCTACCAGCCCGGTATCGCTCCCATAAGTCGTGCTAGGTCTGGCACTCCTATCGTAGCTCTCCCTGTATCCAGCACCTTCAAAGTTATGAGGAGTAGCCGACAGAGGCAAAGGCTCGGTAGAGTTGCTGTAACCGTGAGCGGGAGGAGAACCGGCGGGGACAGGGTAAGCGACAACCCCAGAGTCGACGGGGGCGTTCTCGGGCAGAGCCTGTCCGTCGGCTCCTTGCCATCGTTCGGGGTAGGCAGCAAAGGCGTTTCGTCCGGTAAAGTCGTGCTCGAGGTTGTGAGGTTCGTTCTGTTCTTGCCACTTGGCGAGACGTCGGAGGTACCTGGGCGAGGTCTTTCCAGCGGGCCAGACTATCAGAAAGAGAGGGATTTAGGTCATTAGTTTAGTCTCCTCTGATGGGATCACTCTGGGGGGCTATTGCAGACTCACGATCAAGGACCAAACTCAGGATGTAGAAAGTCAACCAGAAAGCCAGACCCCATTCGACACCGGCGGCGCCGCTAGTGATGTTGTTGCATCGGGGAGTGTCGGCATCACCCTTACAAGCACCGTAGAGTCCGGCGAACGTGATGGCTGCATGACGGGAACGTGAAGGAGGTCAGCACTTATGATTGAATAGACCTGACTATTCGCAGGGGGGGAGAGTGGACTATTCCAGACAACGGGACTTACCGGCAGCAATGGCAGTGGTAGCGACAAAGACCTTGATGAAGGCGCTCCTCCTCAAGTGTTGCCTATCAGGGTGATCCTTCTTCAAGGCGAACTACGAGTCGACCAACAGAAAAAGGAAGCATATTTCAGCCTCCATCGCATAAAAATCCGATCGTGGAAACTCGGGTTCGAAGCTTACGATTTCAGCAGATTGGAAGATTGCAGAGATGGCCACACCGACGATGAAGATGACGGTCATCGACCAGTGTACGGTAGAGTAGTCGAAAGTGTCGAACTAAGAATCGTGTCAAACAGAGATTAGTTCCCCCATCAAGCTGTACGAGGCATTATCGGATCATAGCGGGGACGTACCACACCGAGCATGATCAAGGCGATCCCACCGATCGTCCCGAAGAAAATGGCAAGCCAGTCCAAAACCCTTTCCCGCTTCCTCACATCCTCGGGCAGTCGGTCCATGTGACGCAACCAACGCTCAGCCCAGAGGGACAGCACGTAAAAGACGGCGGTGAGGACGGTGATGCAGATGAAGAGGGTATGGTTGGCGGCTGTAAGAGTAACAATAATGCTCCTGTAAGCGATCGTGTGGTTATGACGGCGGAAGAAGGGGTGAAAGGAAGGCTTACCACCGACTGAATCGAGGGAGAAGGAACGAGTTGGACAAATCGAAATCAGCGATCGAACAAGACTCCCTCCGTCATCCGATTCGTAACTCACCATCGGACACAAAGACCACAGAGGCCTCGTCTCCCCTGTACTTGGGCTTCCCCTGACTAGTCCACAGCCCGATCAAAGCCAACAGACCTCCGAGCCAGACCAACGACGAGATGATGGGCAAGAGGACATAAGGTCCAAAGATGAAATGCGTGAGAAGGCTCCTCTGGTTCAAGTAGGCGGGTTTAGCTTTGGTGTCCGCGATGACGGCGGATCGTTTTTCCTTGTTGAACAAGAGGTTCGCCTTCTTGTTTTGCAGTTTTTCGTTGGTCATCTTTGTCGATGATAATGAAGATGGGAGGGTGGATGCGATGGTAGGGTGGCCGTGAAATACCTCGTATTGCGAGACGACGAGACGAAGAAATGCCAAGGTGACCCGGATTATAAGGCTGCGGATAGGATGTGTGCGACGGGAAAAGAAGGATTGCTCGTTTGCAGCAAGCAGCAGCAGTAAAAGGTCTTTATCCAAACCCTCGATCTCTGCAAAAGGATTACGGAGTCCCGGAGGTCCAACGGGTCCAAGCAGTTTCTCTCGCGGGTGGATGACGCGCGAGAGCGTGATCGAAAAAGTGCAGGCCGAGAGAGGGTGGAGGTCGATCGCACGTGATTATGACGCAGTTCTTTCGTGAGGGGTTTGCTATTTTCCGGCGATCGACCTCGACCGGCGGCCACCCTGGCATCGATCGTTCCTGATGCGCTGATACATCGATGCTGACAGACGCACAGACGAGACGTTTCACCCTTGTGCTCTGTGATGACACGGAGATACGCTGCTAGCTGCTAGCCCACCTGCCGTCATCGACCGGTCAGCAATGGCTGCGTCCTATCGACTAGCTGTTAGCCCCCGATCGAAACCACCGGATCCTAATCGAGGCTGCCTTTCGAAAGGCGAGGAAGGATCGTCAGGCACGCTCGATCCGAAACCTTGTCGTCACTCAAGTCGCTTCATGAACCGTATCGAAAAGTGCAACGTCTCAGACTGATCCTCGAAGCCGAATGTCAGATCTGAGTGAAGAGGCTAATTCACTATGAGCCCGATCTGATCCAAGAGGACGTTGAGCTCTTCCCGGCATGTCGACAGGCATGTATGGCTAGCAACACAAACACCTTGACCAAGAACGCATTCCGGGAGATCTGATATAGAAGATCTAGCGGGCAACTTTATCCAGTGTCCACCGGTCAAATCAATACGTATAATGCGGGGTATACGACTGGATTGTCAATGTGAGATGGACAACTGTTCATTCGACCCTGATCAGATGGGTATGAGCTATAACACAATCGATCTGCCTTTCCTGCAGACCCAAGTATTCTATTTATGTACAATATCGCCCTCCGTTAGTTGACGAACTTCGAGTAGAGCTCGATTTTGCCTCAAACCCCTTGAAGCTATGCATACAACCGGAGACCTTCCCCTTATCCCATCTTTGCAGTTTGTATCGCCTCGACACGTCAAGCAGACGGCTGCGCAAGCAGATGCTCTGCATCGCCTCAGAAAAGAGTTTTCTGGCAGGAGTCTCACCATAGATGTGTCAGCTGCCGGCGGACGTACAACCCTGATAGAATCAAGGTCGGTCGAAACTATCACAGTAACGTGCGATTGATAGTATTCATTCGCCCGACAACACCGCAGGCAAGCGCAGCATAGTCTCACGGCAGCACCACGGATGACAAGCGAATCCAGAACCCAGAGATGGGAAGATGCATTCAAGCTTTTTTGGTAACGATATGAGTTTGAGTGAAAGCGCTGCTATGAATTATTCGTGTTGCAGCGAGGTCTATGGGATCGACTTACGATTACGGGCTATGCTGCTATGCTCAGAGGGATCGAGAGGTTTGTCTTTCCGAGCCATCGACAGCCACGTCAGACCTCGGAAACACCACAGAAAACGTCTTTCCTGTCAAGCCCCTTCGAAACACTACTGTATATTGCAGTGCGCCATGATCTCGTTCGCAAATTCTCGCTGGATGAACGTGAACCCTTTCGAGGTCTGCGGAAGAAATCCATCATGTTTCATTTCATTGGGCGCGGAGTTACCCCGAGGGGCGCGGATGCGAAGCGGGGAAATATCGGTCGCTCGACAGGCGCATACATACGATTCCCACTTTTGACTTCGGGGTTGAAGTTCGTACCATCTCTCGGGTTCCCCTTCCCTCCACTAAGATCAGATATATGGTCAGTGATGGGGTTGGGAACCGAACCGCCCTGTTACTCTGGACTGATACTGACGATCTCCATCGTCGCTCATTCCCGGCTACCCTCAAAAACAACTCTCTCTCAAACTTCGAGGACACACCATGGATTCAACCAAGATGCAATATCGATTCCTAGGAAACACGGGGACCAAGGTCTCCGTCATCTCACTCGGCGGATGGTTGACGCACGGCGGTCATACCGGGAACGAGGTCGCCAAGCAGACGATGAAGGCGGCCTACGAAGCCGGGGTCAACTTTTTCGATTCCGTCAGTGATCTGTGTCAAACCGATCGGTAGCCTTGGATTGCTGACATGCGTGTGGCATGTGTGGACACGCTCGTTTGTAGGCCGAAGGATACGCTGGAGGTCGGGCCGAGAAGCTCTTGGGAGAGGCCATCAAAGAGTTTGGCTGGGACCGTGACGATCTCGTCATTTCGACCAAGCTGTACTGGGGCGAACATGAGGATGGTTCCAAGGGCATCAACGGCAAGTCGCAAAACTCTCTCGCTTATTCGCTTCCCTTTAGCTAATCTTGAAATGCGATCCTCGTCGGACAACACGATACGCTAGACGTCGGACTCTCCCGTAAACACGTCTTGGCCGGGATGCGGAAATCGCTGCAACGTCTCCAGATGGATTTCGTCGACATCGTCTGTACGTCCCGCTTCAGACTTTCTCGACCCAACCGCTCCTTAGCTGAATCGAAGAGAACATCGTCTCCATATAGACGCTCATCGACCTGACAAACACACCCCGATGGAAGAGGTCGTCCGCGGTTTCAATCACCTGATCCATACGGGTCAAGCGATCTACTGGGGGACGAGCGAGTGGTCTTCAGAAGAGATCATGGACGCCTGGCGGATCGCCGATAGACTAAGTGAGCTCCAGCCGGATATGCACAATCTCATACGCGTCTCGATCCTGACTCTTTCACCTCCAACCCCTGTCCCATCTGCTCCCGGCGTGTACTGCAGACCTCATCGGGCCCGTGGTCGAACAGCCCGAATACAACATGATCTCCCGTACCCGCGTCGAGATCGAATACGCCCCCTTGTACCGCAAATTCAACCTCGGGCTGACCGTCTTTTCCCCCCTGCGCCGTGGGATCCTCACGGGGAAATACAACCAGGGGATCCCCTCCGGATCCAGGGCGGACAAGGAGGGCAGTTGGTTCAAGGAAGAGGTCGAAAAGGGCGGGGACATGCTGGAACGGGTCTCTCGGCTCGAACCCTTGGCGAAAGAGCTCGGAGAAGGGGTGACGACCGGACAGTTGGCTCTGGCTTGGACGTTGAAGCATCCGAATGTCAGTTCGGCGATCATCGGTGCGACATCTGTCGAACAGGTCAGGGAGAACTTGAAGGCGGTTGAGTTGGTGGAGAAGATCGACAAGGGGCTGATGGATCGGATCGACGAGGTCTTGGGGAATCGGCCTAAGGGGGTGCCTTTCCGATTCGACTGAGCCGTGGTTGCCTTTTCGCCCGGGTCGGTACCGCGAGGAAAGGTCGAGATCGCCAAGTCATGTCGTCATTCTGTATCCGATACGATGTGATGTACGAGTCGGAAACCATGTCATATGTTGCCGTTGATTATCTCTCGGGTTTGAGGGGTGTCATGAAGATTGCTACAATGCTGTGTGAGGGCTCCTTTTCTTGGATCTAGGTCGTAAGTACGGGTCGTACTGCGAGTATAGTTCATCGATAGTCAGCTCGTGTCACAGAAGACGATTCTTGACAACAAAACTTACCAGTATACAGTTCGTTAGGTGAGATTCTGACTTCGCTCGTAAAAGATGCAGAACAGATGAAAGTTCCCTTCGCAAAAGGAACCCGTCCCTAGATCCCTAAACCATCCTCGCATCCTGCTTCGTCGTCCTCGTATCCTCCCAAGTCGTCCCAACATGCTGTTCCCTCTTCAGACTCTCCTGCAACTTCAGATTCCTCTCATACTCCAGCTGTCTCTCCGCCGTGGCTCTCGAGGGTATGGACGGTGATTGACCGGACGAGGCGTTCTGCGTGGCTAGTTGGGTCTGTTTGGCCTTGACACGTGCTTCGTCTTTGATCACCCCTTGGTACATGTTCTGTCATTCACGGCGTTGGTGTCTTGTTCAGATCGTCGTGCAAAGTGCCTTATTTGGAAGGAGAAGAAGCAAAGCGATGCTCACCGCCTGTTCTGTCACTTGGATGTGATGCACGGCCCAGATGGTCCCCGCCGTCAGGGCGCACGATCCGGCAAAGAAGATTTTGGACGCTCTGGACATGTCGTATGGTCTATGCAAAAGATGTCTAGAAGGTCGTGGGCACAGCGATCGACTGACTGTATATTTTGCGAGTGAAGATGATGATCGACACATGCGACACAGGCTCGATCGAGATTTCGACCAAGACTCGCTGCTGAATCGCCTTAAAAGGTGTTCCCAACAGCTTTTACGCGTGAGAAAGTGATCCTGTTTTCCCCGCCGAGAGCGAGCCAGAGCGAGATCGTGTCTCTCTCCCGGCCACCCTGCCCTTACGCTGTTGACGTCGAAGAGGTCAAGCTATCTCTGATCGACCTCATCTTCATTACAACTCCCCTTCTCTCATAGATTCTTAGCTTCAGTCTCTCGAGATCGTACAACACTCGCTCAGATCCATCCAAAAATAATAATGGCCTCCCGATTCGTCTCAAAAGCTTTGACTTCGGGTACGCATATTCTTCGCGGGAGAGACGGATGTCAAGGTCGTCGGGCAAGCCGGGGGGTGCATAAAGACTGTGGTCACCAAGAGATCAAATCAGACAATCCACCTACCTCTCCTCCGGCTTGCGCACCGACCAGACTAGGAATCACGAAGGAATAGCGAATGGAAGAGCTGAAGAATGGTGGTCTTGTCGTTGTTACTCCTTTGCAGCCGCCCGTCGACCGGCCGTCGTCACCTCGCAAAAGGTTGTCGCTGCCCAGGCGTGAGTCGATCTGTCATTCGCTCCTTCAAGATAGGGGTAACGACCCGGACTGACAATCTTATCGCCGTGTCTATATCGCATCTTCAGTTTCCGAGGAATGGCTTCCCGTGCGTCCACCTATCATCCATATCGCATTCATCTATCTATTCCCCATCTAACCTGTCCCACAACTACCCCCCACCCTACCTTGCCTTGCTTCCCTCCACGCAAACGCTGCAACATCCGCAGAGCCCACCCCGGACGAGAAGGCCGCTAGCATCATCAACTCGGTGCCCCAGTCCAACCTGTTCACCAAGACCGGAGGTGTCATCCTCGGAACCGGTTTGACCGCCGCCGCTATCAGCTCGGAGCTCTACGTGCGTTCTAGGGGTTCATCCTTTCGGGTCCAGAGCTGGGGGGACATAAGATTTCTGATCTCTGCTATTCATATTCCATGAAATCGACGTCAAATCGTTACAGGTCGCCAACGAGGAGACCGTCCTCGCCGTCGGTTTCTTCATCATCGTCGCCGCCGCCGCTCGATCTATCGGTGCCCCCTACTCGTCGTGGGCCAACGGCCACATCGAGCGGATCACCAACATCTTGCAAGGAGCTAGGGAGGAGCACACCAAGGCCATCACCGAGAGGATGGATTCGGTCAAGGAGATGAGGGAGGTCGTGCCCCTGACTCAGAACTTGTACGCTGTCGCCAAGGTACGTTTCGCGGGTTCAGGTCTACGTTGAGCACAAACGGAGAAACGTACACTGAATTCGCCGACTATATCCTACGTCCTCCCGAACACAACAGGAGATCGCCGAGCTCGAGCACAAGAACTTTGCCCTCGAGCAAGAGAACGCGATCAAGACCGAGCTCAAGCAGGTCCTCGACTCTTGGGTCCGATACGAGCAGCAACAGCGAGAGTCGGAGCAGCTCGACCTGGTCAAGACCGTCAAGGCTGGTGTCGAAGCCGAGTTGGCCAAGCCCGCTTTCAAGAAGCAGCTCTTGGAGGAGGCTTTGGCTCACGTCGAGAGTGAGTGCACGGGTCGGATGCGAAGGATACTGTTTGCGGGATTAGTTGTGCTGATCGATGTCGTTTGCGTCTGCTTTTGCCTTCGTTTGTTCCAGGCTTGGCCAAGTCCAAGTCGATCTAGACGTCGAACGGGAAAAGGCGATGGGGGCGAGGAGAGATAGATGGGATGTGAAAGGAATCAAGATGTAGATCGAGTGGAGAAAAGATGCAAATCGAATGAAAACGACCAGGCTGGGATGGTTGTCGAACCTCGACGCTTATTACGCTCCATCCGAGACAAGGACGAGGTGAAGGTTTCGATTTGGGCCGTGAGTCATCGACGAGCCCTTCTGAAGCAGAAGCAGGTGAAGGCGTTCTGTCCTCGGTCTTTCCCTTCGATGCCGACACTTGCCTTCCCTGCAAACTGGCCAAACGTCGTTGTGCACCCCTGATATGAGAGAAGACACTTGGGCGAAGGTGAGCGTCGTTTACGCTTTCGAACGTCTTTGGGAAAGCATTGGCACATAGGATGCGTTCGCTTCACTTTTATGTCGTCCGCATTGTTCAGATGCAAGATGGATCGAGTGATGCGTTGCAGCGAAGAGCAAAAAGTAAGATAAAAAGAGTAACTAAAAAAACGAAGGGAACAGAGGCTAGGCCTGGTACCGCTTGATCCAAGTAAAGTTGAAGTCGGATGCCGCTTGTCGAGTCTGAAGAGTTGATGAGGAGGTGTTGCGTCGGAAAGAGGGAAGGAGGTGTCGCGCTGCAATGCAAAAGTCGAGCTCTTGACGCTCATGGGATTCGAACCCATCGCGGGCCACGCCGCCAGGCGAGACCGACCCTCACTTTCGCGAGAATAGATCCGCACTATCACGTCGCTCCCTCAGGCTACGCTAGCGTCCCTTCGTTGTCGCCTTCGCGTCTCGAGCGGATATGACCTCACAAATTTCGACCCGAAGATAATGGAACCATGACTGTCAGCACATCCTCCCATCTCATAAGACGTTGCGTAGATGTCGGAAGCACGGCAGGTAGCGTGGCCATGACCAGCAAAATTTAAAAGACGCCGCCAAAAAAGAAACGAAAGCTCAACGATGGCGCAGTCGGGACCTGCTTGCTGGATGTCGGTTTGGCGCATTTGTTGTCAAAAGTCAGTCCTCACGCGGAGATTCGAACGGGCGGTCGATCGGGAAGGGAGACGAAGGCCTATAGCTTCCTGCTTGCAGCATTTCGCCGGCGTCGCGTTTGCTAAAATAACCCCCCTTCCCAACTGTGCTAGTCGAGCTTCGATGTTTTACGCGTCAGACTCCTAAATATAACAACGTATCATCCGGCGAATCCGCTAGCCTTTGGTTTCGTCGCCATCACAGAGGCCCAAAGCGTACGACGAAACCGGTCGATAAGTGCAAACAATGCCCTGACGAGGCAGGTGTATATCTACGCAAGCGATCCCTCTCGACCGCAAGGCCCCGTATGACAGTGACACCGACGACGCTGCACAAGGTGTGCTCAAGTTGTATCCTATTTGACAATATCATCGTCTGATTGGCCATGACGGCTTCCAAGACGATCAATCGACCGAACGAGATATATGGCAGATTGGACCTACAGAAGGCCAGCGACGCGGCCTCAATTCATGTGCAAGAGCCGCTGTGGGTCAGCGCGAATGAATCCCGATGGTACGGCCATCTGCAAGACGAGGTTCCGAACGAATGTTCTATGAAAATGTGAACAAACTATGTCGGACGAATGCTGTTGAAGATCAGATGCTACACGTTGAGAGCCGTCGCAAACGACTCGGACAGCACGACGATGACTTACATATATGGAGCGTTACGAATCTGCCCTCTCATACAGGCATGGTCGAAAGCTTACCTGGTTTGAGGAACAACGCGTTTACTCGAAAAGACTGAACTCTTCATTGTTCAGAACGATCTGTCGGGACCGCGGTAGAAATGAATAAAACGTTCAAGTGCAGGGTATGATTCCGGAAATTTCATAGCTGCAGCCTGCAGGCGCCTCTGCACATTATTCGACAGGAGATTCGCAGAGATATGATGTGCAAGGCGTCTATCCTGCGCAGCAGCTCGATCACGATTTCACGGCCCTCGTTGCAGCGAGTACATTGACCAGTGTATGACAGATATCAGTATGCGTTGAATCCCGTTTGAGGACGATTCTTAGGGTGCTCACAAGATTGCGCAAAGAAATAGTGAATCAGCCAGGTGGGAGACAATCTCACGAGTCGCCTCACCGTTCGCGCCTTATGAAGTGAAAGGTAACTCGACGTAAATATCCTCACAGACTGGGTGGAGTAAGATGTCACCTTCTGAACATACTTTGTCAAACAGTCCTGCTGGCTGCTCGGCCAAAATCGATCTTGCGTAGCGAAGTATCGCCGACCACGGACCGCCGCTGCAACATTCAGTCGCATTAGACCAAAGTCACGATTCAAGATGAGTCGAGATGACATATGTGTAACATGCAGTACCGATGGCGGTCCGGACACAAACAGAACGCATTGTTCAACATGAACTAGGGCGCGCGCTTCCCCTTTTTGAGCCCAACTGTGTCTGTATGCTTCTGGATAGGCTTTGGCCCCCTCTCGGAAGAATTTGCATCACCTTTGACAACCGAACTTCTGTCTTGTTGAGGTTCCATAGGAGGGACGATACCTTTGTGAGGCGCCTATGCCAAGCCATGCGCAAGCATCTCGAAAAAGCTTTGTCGTTTGAGCGTCCCGAAGATCCGAAACTTGCGTCTCTGACAGCAGGTCCTTGTGCCACTTCACATCGACCATTTCGATTCAATGAGAACGCTCTAGGATATCGGAAGCGATGTTCAGATGTCGTTCGCAAGCCGGTCAAGACGATTTCGCCCCTGTAGGTTGCGCTTCGAGTTGGCTTTCGTACGCCCTGACCGGAAGCTTAATTTACTTCCGAAGGCAGCGATTGAGCCCCGCACGGGCCGGGCCAGCGGACAACATCGTTCGACTGTCCGAGGTTCAAGGATTCATCAATCGACTCTAGCGAATCTCGACATCCTTAGAGCTAGACATCAGCCTGACTATACACAGCGCTAGCATCTTACTACCATCCCAGAACCAAGATGGCTACCTCTGCTCCGACTCAAGAATCATTCCTCGTCGTAGGCGGCTGCGGCTTCCTGGGTCGACGGATCGTAGAACAGCTCGTCGAGAGGGGTGAGAAAGCGGTCGCCGTGTTCGACCTTGTTCAGCGACATTTCGACGAGTAAGTGACAGATACGAGATTGCTCGGACGAATCTTTCCTGGATCGATAGGCTGACTTCAAGGTATAAAATCAACTCGCATGATCGTGACAGGAATGTGTCGTTCTACACTGGTGATATCACTTTCCCCGATGACCTTTCTGAAGCCATCACCAAGGTGAGCATTCGCGGTCATGATCAACATCATTGTTCCCCCGTTGCGTCTCTCGCTCATGCATGCTCATCGCAATCACCTAACAGTCCCGTGCCGACGTGATCATCCACACGGCGTCGCCCGTCCACGGCATGGGTGCCGAAATCTATCGCAAGGTCAACGTTGTTGGTACCCAGACCATCATCGACGCCTGCCTCGCCCACAACGTTCGAAAACTCGTCTACACCTCGTCCGCTGGTGTTGTATACAACGGAACTCAACACCTCGTCGATGTGGACGAACGGATGAGCGTGCCCGAAGTCCCGTTGGACGCCTACAACGAGACCAAGGCGCAAGCTGAAAAGCTCGTGCTCGCTGCCAACGGGGCCGAGTTGCAGACCTGCGCGTTGAGACCCGCAGGGATCTTTGGGGAGGGAGATCGTCAGCTCTTGACCGGACTGCAACAGGTCATGAGGAACGGTCAGACCAAGTTCCAGATCGGGACCAACGAGAACCTGTTCGACTGGACCTATGTCGGCAACGTCGCCCATGCGCACCTGCTCGCATCGGATCGACTTGGAAGGGTCGTCTCGCCGTACGAGTTCACGTTCCCCTTGCCCGAGAACAACAAGACGGTCGGCGACTATCGTGTACCTACCTCGGAAGCTCGTCCCCTAGGTCCGATCAGACAACCGACCGAAGAGGAGAAGCGAGCCGACGAAAAGTTTAGGCAGAAGAAACGACTCGACGACGAGGACGATAACGATCTCCAGCCGGTGCTCCGAACCAGGATGGACCAATTCGCCAAGGCGACGGACCCTGAGTATACCTCGGAGCAGGACAAGCAGGCCGCCGTGGCCATGCTCAAATCGAGCGAAAAGACGGAAGGCGAATCCGGTGCGGTGGGAATCATGACGACGCCCATCGACCCCGAGCTTCGGGTCGCCGGTCAGGCTTACTTCATCACCAACTCGGAACCCCTGTACTTTTGGGATTTCAACCGAGCCGTCTGGTACCACGGCATGAACCACATTGCGCCTTACCATATCAAGATGCCGCCTGTCATCGGACTCGCGCTCGCCGCTCTCGCCGAAGGGTGGAGCTGGTTGATGGGCAAGGAGGCTGGGTTCACCCGGTTTAGGGTCAACTTTGCCACGCAAAAGAGGTACTTCAACATTGAACGTTCGAGGAGGTTGTTGGGTTACGAACCGATCTGGGGGGTCGAGGAGGCGCTTGGCAAGACGTTGGAGGTCAGTGGTCGGTGTCCACTTACGAGACGAGCGAGCGTGGCTGATAAAGGAGGCGGTGTTTCCAAATCTGTTACAGTGGTTCAACGCGGAGGAAGCCAAGAAGGTCGCTGGGGAGACTCCCAAGAACAAGTAGACATCGCGCAGACGACCCAACGTCGCCATACAAAGCGATCCGTCGCCGAAAGAGGACGAAGTTATCCCTTCTTTAACATCCCCCGCCTCTCGCGGTTTTCCTGGGCGCACATGTCATCAATCATACGGTCTCGACACACCACCCATATATGTTGTACTATCTCTTTTCGGTCCGATCTTGTCATGATATTATGTCGGCTTATGAATGACCTTGTTGGCATGTTCTGCCTCGGAGTCGCTCTCTGAATCGTGCAGCAATCGTCGTTTCCCTCATACAGCATCTCGCTACCCATCGGGGATGATATCTCAGAAATTGAGCAGACGAATGGTTCTCAGCACGATCGACGACCAGCGCCGGCTTTTACCCCGGGCCGCGTCGGAGTGATGATCAGCCGAGATATCAGTCTGTCACCTCCTCGACTCTGCTACAACATCGATCATCCGAATAATCCTGATCATATCTCACTCACACTTTACGATTACTTCGTTCTGTACGTCCTTCCTGCATCGAATTATTCACCATGTCTTTTATCACACGCTCCTTGTTGACGATCGGTCGGCCGGTACATGTTCAGGCCATGCGATCTATCAGTTCCACCTCGGCTCCCAACATCCTCAACCGACTCCCCGAACCGCACCCTAACCCGAATCACCCACCGCATACCAACGAGGGATTGAGAGTATGCCAGGTTATTGGTCTGAAGCCGGAAAGGATCGAAGAGTATGAAAAGGTGCACAGAGAAGTCTGGCCGGGGGTTCTGAACGCGTTGAGGCGGGCGAATGTGGTCGGTGAGCCTCGTATACGAAGTTCTTTCACATGTCGGGGAGTTGATGAGATCATGTTTGTGCATGCGTCCGGTGACTAGACTACTCGATCCACCACATGCAACTCCCGTTGACTCCTGCCGGTACCAGCTCAGCATCGGGGCAGACGACTCATCTCTTGATCGCTCACATGCGGTACATGGGCAAACCGGAAGATTTCGAAAAGGATATGAGCAAGGTCGGGGAAGATCCCGAGACTCAGCGGTGGTGGAAGGTCAGTTCCGGTCTTAAACGAAGTGTTCCGCTTGGCTTTGGGCGATATATGATTATTGACGAGAATGAGGCGTGTTTTGTGGTTGGTCCCAGTTGACGGATTCGATGCAGACTTCGTTCGTAGACGGTGCCGTAGGATCGGCTTCAGGTCCGGGTTGGTGGTCAACCGGCCGAGAGGTCTTTCGTTTCGAGGGCTAAGTGGATAATGTCGAGCCTCGCTCTTGTATGAGGCTTGCCGTCACATGAGAATGTTCGGACTCCTTCTTGATCTCGTTCATCAGCATCTGTCGTCTCTCTCAGATGACCAGAAGAAATCGAGCTAGCACCTGGATAGCATATCCCTCCCTAGAATCAGCGAACGCAGACAGTCTGATTGCAACAAAGTAAGGAATATTTATTTCGCTACAAACGTATCATGGCACCAGAATTCCACCGTAAAAGCTACAAACCACGTTAACTCGATCCAATCCGACCTCTCTTAGCCTCAAGCCCTCTTGAGCTTCTCGATCATCTCGCTCGCCTCGCTCTTGCTCATCTGTTCGGGGATCGGATCCTTGGTATCGTGCTGCCTAGCGAGGACGTGGATGAACCCCTTCTGCTTGTCCGTCGCTGGGTCTCCGCCTGGGTAGAGGGATCCGGTCGGGTTTCGAAAGAAGGGTCATAAGCGAATCAGCGATATGTTGTGGTACACCATTTGACGGGGAGTGTGGACGGAAGAGGAATCTGTGCGACTTACCGGTAGTCCACGTTTCCGGGTGGGCGAGGTGAGAATCGGAAGGTGGGCTGGTCTCATCAGCCGGAAGCTCCGAGGGCAACTTGTCGCTCCCCGTCGTCTTCGACTGATCAAACGAAAGGTGGATCATCACAGTTTGAATCTCATCAACATTCCGACCTTGTCCACTCAATCCCAATCATCATTGGATAGCGTGTACTCACCCTGGGACCATCATCACTCTGAACCCCTTCATCCTGCTTCTTCTTCAGCTCGTCTATTTTCAAGCTCGCCTCTCCCTTAGTCAAGCTGTCCGGGTCGACGTCCTCCCCAGTAGACTCAGCGAGCTGGCCGATAAAGCCCTTTTGACGGTCCGTGGGGGCGTCGCCGCCGGTGACCCATTTGGAGGGGTTGTCGAGAGGAGGAAGAGAGGCGTCGTTGGACTGCGATCGAGAGGAAAAGGGAATGGGTGATTTTAGCTACATGCAAAGGAGGGGGACGAACGGGGTACGAGAGCGGGCTCACCATGGTTCGTATCAATGATTTCTTTCTTAAAAGTGGATATGTGGTAAATTTGTAGCGAGTGAGAGGCCTGAGAGGGTAACGGAATGAGCGTAACAGAGTTTGATATATAAAGACTTGCGAATGGAGAAGGAAGCTGGAAGTCGATCGACCTTGATCTGTCGATCGAAATGACGTCAAAACGCGATCCAAACGCGTCGCGTCACGCCGCGCGTCATCGCAGAAGAGAAAAGAGAGAATCCCGAAAAGCACCTGTCGAAGCGAATCCGTCTCGAAATGTAGCCTAATGAGCTGATGATCATGATGACATTCGCTATCGTACTATCGAGAGGCGAGAGGTCGCGGTTGGACAAGAGGTGAGACGAGGGGATTATCTTCAGGAAGCTGTCCATCGACGAGGACGCGGAGTAGCATCGTCAGTCATCGATAAGCGATTGTTGTCGAACGAAAAAGAAGCGAGTGATAATCGATCATGTCGCTCCTCGTTCTACCTAACATGGCTAGCATATCATTCAGCCAGCTCTATCGAAGTGGATCTCCCAAAGAAGGAAGATTATAAGCTTAGGTGATCCTACACGATCATCGCTCGCTCGCTTGCCTCGTCTTTTGTTTCATGCGACAAGGCGGGGAAATTGATCCCGTCATCACCCGGGGAGGCTCAAACCCTTGATCGTCGTCGTCGTTGTCGTTGTATCGAATCGACGATCGTCCTTTCCATTCGTCGACCCATTCTTGTCGGAGAGGAACGGCTCACGAGGCTGACAAGATATACAAAAGAGATCAAGTGCGCTACGAAAAGTATCGATTGCCGATCCTCGCCAGGAAAACTGACTCTTTCTGCATTATGGGAGACGCTGACGATGATCGATCCACCTGAGAAGCCTAGCTGGAGGGGCGCTGCATCAATACGTTGCTATAAGGTCGACTCGATCAAAGCAAGAGGTCAAAAAGTTCGTTCTCGAGGTCGGAATTTATGGTACAACCTCAGTCCATGTCCTTTGTTTGACCACATCTGAAGGTCAAGGGGGCGAGATCATATAGCATTGGTAAATACGCCTGCGTGAGTCAATCTGTTAGTTGAGCATCTGACTTTCGATCTTACTTCGACTCATTCATCCTACATTCGGAATCTCAGGATGACAGATGACCCCGTTCGCCAGCCTGACGGTCCGCTCGAGCATCAGGCGACTGCGAAACGACAAAAAGTCAGATCAGACTCTCAGCTGTTTCCGGACCAGGCCCGACCGCCTCTATCTCATCATCATCAAATGCAAAATCTGATGAACCGGTCCCAGTCTTACCAGCTACAGGACTCGGTTGGCTGGTCATCTGAACAGCAATTTCAACCGAACCCAAGTCACATGGGACATCCGAACCCGAATCAGAACCGAGAATACATGTTCGACCTGTTCCCACCGAATGTACAAGGAGCTGCTTTCCTGCAGCAACCGCAGGCGCAACCTCATCTCCAACAATCAATGATTCCGACCACTCAGCCTCCCTACGCTCCTTCTCCTCGACAACACCCTCCTCTCTCTCATCCTCCGGATCGATCTTTACCCTCCTTGAGCTTTGGGCAAAATCGCAATTACAACTACGATCCTCGGCCGGTTCAGTATCATCAGCTGCCGAGATGTCATTGTGGACATCAATGTCCTCCCGTTCCTATCCCGGTCCTTCAAGTGAGTTCGGTACACAGGAAAGAGTAGATTCACCTGTATCTTTATCCATTCGGCTGACGAGCGTTTTGGTTTCTTCTCTGCTACATTTTCAGCTCGACCAGCAGGGCTACTATGGATCTCCGCAACATCCGCAGCAACGGCACCAACCGATCTTCTACCCTCAACCTACGGCGCCTGGCGCTCGGCATAATCCCCAAGACCGTCACGATGGCCTCGCTCGACCAGGGTCTCATCCTCCGCCTCCCGCCTCTGTCACCCGCCAGAACACCCCAAACGACGCGTTGTTTAGGCTTCCTCCACCTCCGGTACTCAATCAGGAAGTTCGCGATGGACCCGATGTTCGTGATCACAGTAACACTCAGACCCGGACGGACGCCAAGGTCCCAACCCAGACCGATGTTCAGACCCAGCCTTTGACGCAGCCCGCGCAATACAATGTGGGATCCGAGAAGGAGCAGAATTCCGAGGACGGTAGACAACTCCGCAAGAAGATAGGTTCGAACGAGAAAGGACAGGCGGTGGAGTCAGTTACTAAGAGGTCGAGTTCCGCTGCGGCGGCGTTGGCAACTGGTTCGTCGGACGGTCATATCAGACGTGCACAGGTGTCTAGCCGACCAAGCTGATACATCGTTCTTTATGCAGGAACCCTTGACAGCTCTAAAGTCCAGACGAATGCTAAAAAGCCAAGATCGGGAAAGACGAGAAGAGTGTCAGAGGGGAAGAACGAGAAGAGGTCGACCGGTTTACCGGAGCAGGACAACCCGGGTATGGATGCCATGCCATCTGGTCCGGCTTCGTTACCGGGTCCAGCTCTGGGGACAACGGCGCGGCAAGACGTGGTTAACACGAACGAACTTGAAGTGAGCGCCCAATTGTTATATGTTGGGGATTTGCGCGACTAGTAGTGAACTAAATGATACATTGTTCATGCTTCAATCTCACAGAAAGACCCTAAGAATCTCGCTCCTAGTCTCGCATAAGGCTTTTGTCGTATATCTTGCACGGGATGGTAAGCAGCATCAGCTCGTCGGGCGAACGAACAATCGCTCTTCATCTGACCGGATCGGTTTCATCATCACATAGACCGTTCTTTCGTGCCCTTTTACATAGAATCCCGAACTTTATCTGGCCGTTTCGCCTCTATCGACCATCTGACCGAACTTTCTCGGCACATAGGATAGGATAGCTCATGTGCTCTACAAATCGCTGCCCATTGCATCGATAGAGCCCAAGCAAGCCGTACCTCTACCCTTGCGGCTCTAAAATATGCTTATGATTGCGGTCGAGACTTTCACGACGAAACGACGTGTGTTCCTCGGGGATCACGGGCTGCGAGGTCATCGCAAGCCATAAAACACGAGCGGCAGCGCTTTTGCTTTCTTCGGGTTCTGAACATTTTTGAAATTGCGTAATCACCCGCGTGGCTTACGGCCTGCAGGGAGGGGGATGGGGATCGTACCACTCTCGCCACACTCGTACCGTAGCACTCGTAGCACTCCGTGCTGCCTGCCTGCCTGCCTGCTCGGGCTGCTCGCCGTTGCTTTGTTTGTGCCTCGTCGGATAGATTTGGGGCATTTGGGGAGGGAAATCATCATCATCATCCGGTCGTAACATCGACGGTTATTCTTGTGGCTCGATCTTTTTCTTATCCACGTCGTTCCACTTTCAACGGATCAACAACTGGCAACTCGTCCTATCTCTCTCTCTCTCTCTCTCTTTCGGATCGGATCGAGGACTCTAGTATAGACTAGCATATCTACCTTTGCCTCTACGACTCACAACAGACACACTCGCTCCTTGGATACGATCAAGAGCCACCGACGTCGCCACAGGACTCGACGATCAACAGACACTCTTTAGACAACCAATAAACATCACCTCGACTACCATCAGCTACTTTCTACGGATCTCTTCTTTACTTTATCGTCACACCACACGCGTTCGACCAACATCATGTCGTTTGTTCAGACCCATGCACCACTACTCGCCGACCACTTCGGTCCCAAGAACTCATCAGCAGTTTTGAACGAGCTATATGCTGGTGTCGATCTCGGATCGCTCAGCTGGGCTGAACAGTTGTGGGGTGAGTCGAGAACGTGATCGATCATCAACCCGACTCTGAGCTGACGGTTACTCGATCGTCTCTTCGCTTGCCGGGCATGCTCAGTCAACTGGTACATCTACATCGGCAACCCTGTCATCGCGACCGGTCTCATGTCGTTCCTTCTGCACGAGGTGAGTCATATCGATCCATCGCCTCGACCTCGATGTCGATACTCCTCTCGAACGCTACAGTCATACTGATCCTCCTTCTATCTCATCATACTTCCTTTGTCAGATCGTCTACTTTGGACGATGCATTCCCTGGATCATCATCGACAAGATGCCCATGTTCAGGAAGTACAAGCTCCAACCGACCAAGGTGCCTTCGAACGCCCAGATGTGGAAGTGCACCAAGGCCGTGCTTCTGAGTCATTTTACCATCGAGCTGCCCCAGGTCAGTCCGCGTGACCGATCGCGATGAAAGCTTCTGCATACATGGGTCACGACGTGATGCTGATACTGCCTATGTTGTTGATCGTATCGCTCATTCAGATCTGGGGATTCCACCCGATGGCTGAATACTTTGGCTTGGCTACGCATACCGTCCCCTTCCCGTCCTGGACCGTCATCGTCCCCCAGATCGCCCTCTTCTTCGTCCTCGAAGACACCTGGCATTACTTCGCTCACCGAGCACTCCACTACGGTCCTCTCTACAAGCACATCCACAAGATGCACCACGAGTACTCGGCACCCTTCGGACTCGCCGCCGAATACGCTCACCCCCTCGAAGTCCTCATCCTCGGTATGGGCACCATCGGCGGTCCCCTCCTCTACTGCCTCATCCGACCGGACCTTCACATCATCACGGTCTACATCTGGATCGTCCTCCGACTTTTCCAGGCCGTCGATGCTCATTCGGGTTACGACTTCCCTTGGAGCTTGAGGCACTGGCTACCCTTCTGGGCCGGGGCCGATCACCACGACTTCCACCACATGGCGTTTACCAACTGTTACTCGACTTCGTTCCGATGGTGGGACAAGCTCTGTGGGACCGAGAGTGAGTCTACCGTACCGTCTCCCGACCCGTCACCCATCACCCTTCCCCCCCCTCACCGCCCCTCCCCCTTACGTTACACCCGCCCCCCCCCTATTCTTGTCCTTGACTTCCCATCCTCTATCCTTACACGTCATCCTATCCATGCTCCGCCCGACCTACCTTTACCTTCGTTCTTCATCCCATTCTCGCGTGCGCGACGCGATATCTTCGTCGTCGCTATCTCAACCACACCCTCACCGTTCGCGCCGTCACCATCATCATCACCATCATCGTCGCCATCATCGCCATCATCGCCATCGTCACCGCTCTTGCTGACGTCATCATTATCATAACGCAACACACTGACACGATACTCTTCGCTTCCGCTCTCGCAGACAAATACGAGGCTTACAAGGCCAGGGTCCGGGCTGCCAAACCTTCGGAACGGGAAGCTACCGAGAAGAAGGAACTCGAGGCCGTCGAGCGAGAAGGATTGGTTGCCGAACGATTGGCCGAGCGGGGTTACGGCAAGGCCATGATGGGCGTACCGAAGGGCAAGCTCGAGTAGGAGAGGAAGAACATACCTATCCCGCGCGCGCGCGTCCGACGTCGTCGACGAGGTCGACCTCGACTTCGCGACGTCGGGCGCGGCTCCAACGGATCGACATCGAGACGGGAATAGACGAATAGATGAACGCGAGACGCGACGACCGGTTCGATAGGATTGTACGACCACAACCCATGTCGGCCCTTGCATATTATATACATACAGACCAACATAATATATCAACCGCGGATATATCTACAACGTCGCGTGCCATGCGTTACGCGTGTTGGTGATCGACCACCTAGGTTCTTCTTTTCTTCTTTGACTTGTTGTCCTCATACCATTCCATTACCTCCCTATGAGAGAACAGTACCAAACCCCTACGCTGACCGGTAAAAGGCCCTATCCCATGCATCACCAGATGAGAGATCATCACCACCATGTCCCCTGGCCTATATTGCAGCCTCACCGCATAGTGGTTTGACCCTACTATTAGGTCCCCATCTTTGAAGTTTCCTGCCACTGTCATCACCACTGCACCCCCATCCTTCTTATCCCGATGAGGCCTGACGGCACGCATGACTACCACTGCACATCCAACAAAGACCTGGGCTGCCGCTTTGTGTATGGCAGACATACTAGGGCAAAGATCCTGGATGCCTTGATAGAATGTGGAGTATTGTTGGTGGATGGCAGGGTAGGTCTCCTTTAAAATAGTAGAGGCACGTTCTTGTAGAGATTTCAAACCGCAAAGAAACCCCTGGACCATGGAGTGTCTACGAGAACAGTTTGCCCCAAGTGTTTCTGCTGATATCAAAGGCCCTTCCTTGACGTGGGCCCTTTCCATCCACAGAGCAAAATGAAAAGTACCACTGACTTTTCTGTCCACCAACTCTGTTTGTAAGTACCGAGTGGTTACTTTCGTCTCCTGCGGCAAGTCTTTGCCAGTTGCTGTCCAGGATTTTTCTAATCCAACGCATAGTTTGTTGAGATTGGCGCAGTCTTTGTAGTGACTATTGATCTTGTAGCACACCACTTTGTGATCAGACGTCTGGATGATGACGCTGGTCTTGTGAAGACGGAGTTTGGGAATGACTTGTGTCCATTCGGACGTCATTTTTGGAGAGTCTTTTTTGCTCTCTTCTTCCAGTTCCTGATAGGTTATTGGCAAGGTGATGAGAGTATGATTCTCAATTGAAGGGATAGAGGATCCTTTCTTGGAGACGAATGTTACGGGATCATCACGTGAGTTGACTACCGACACACAGGCTAGATCTACGGACATCAGCATACACCTAAGTCCGGCTCGACGAGGCGAATCCGATTCCCTCGGAGCAGATTCGGTCGTCCCTACCATTCGCCTTACCATTCACCGAAACAACAATACGTTCCCGGTACACATCACACACAGGTACAAGGACCTCGAGGTACACGACAACTCTACTCAGGACCTCGCCAACCTTACTCGACGTACCTAGGGACAAATGAGAACTCAAACTCGCCTCCTCTACCGAATCCGGTTGCTCTCGACAGGATTCGTCTGTTCGCCATCTCGTTCTTCCAGTTTCGCCATCTCTCGCCATTCTTTTCTCTTGGGTCTTTTCAGTGTTCGCCAGCCTCGTCTCCGTACTCGTCTCCGTATAAATAGCTAGAGGAACTTGACCGAATTCGATAGAGGACGCTCTGTAATAGTAATAGGTCAAGTTCCGATATCACATTCAATACACGCCTATCTGACTTGTTACAACATCTTCAAGACGTGTTGCGGAGAGGTTACAACTCAAGGACGTCGCTAAGTATCTACGCTTCATCGTTTTACCTTAGACCGAATCCGATACCTCACACCGAGTGATCACCTTCCTTATCCATACATCTCTGGATTCGTATCCCGCACCCGAACCCGCTTCATCTAAGCGGACTTGCGACATTCTCCCAACTACCTGCGATTCACCTATAAGCACCCTACGCCTTACGACTTAGGACCTAGCTCGATTAGCGACTTCCGCCGTAACAACGAAATCTAGAGCCTTTGGTATCCAGTTGTCCGTTTCGTTCCCGTCGTGGACCGGAGCAGTCGTAGTCGTAGTCGTACGAGCGCGACAAGGGTCGTTACTGCCAAATTCTTCGTGTGGATCTCCATTATCTGAAGCTGGTAATTGAATCCCGATCAATTGGGCTTCCAGCCAGCAGGTCTCCGAGTCGGACTTACGGACGATTGCATTAGCAGACCGTGTCGTCCTGGTTGAAGCTCCCGCAGGAGATAGCTCAGACTCGGCCGTCGCACGAGTCGGCTCAGGCGACTCCTTGTCCCCAATATGTTTGCGCTTACGACTTTGACAGGCCTCCTCGAAATCGGCTGTGGTGAATTTCTGAGTTGGCTTTCTCTCCCCCTTCTCGCCGTTTGTCACACGGTCAAAACGGCACGTCCGGGCGATGGATACCCCCGCTATCGCATGCTCCAGCTTGGGATATTGCTGCAATCGGCGTGGCTGTTAGATTCTGTCTGAAGCGACAATCTCGTACACGAGCAGACTCACTTCGGTAACATTCTTGATAGCCAGCATCTTCTTATACCCACAACTGACGTCGTCGTAATCAAACTCCCCTCTCCAACCCTTGCCCCACGCCGCCTCCACGGCCGCGTTTACCGCAATCATCCTGGCATCATGGTAGGCCAAAAGCGCGGGTTCCGTGACCTCGACCTTCAGAATGTCGTAGAGCTGAAGGAGCTGATCCATATTATCCTGAGCCTGGTTGGCAAGCCATTTGAGGACGGCCTCTTTGTCCACCTTGTCTTCACGTATCCTCTCTGCGGCTGCGACCGCTCCGAGGCCCGTCAAAATCCCTAAGTACCGCTCCATTTTCGATGGGAGTTGCGGGGATTCGGTGCCGAATTCGTTCAAGAGTTCGTATCCAGCGTTTCTAGCGGTCGAGTGTCGATGGATGATTCTGTACAACTACGACGTATTTCGCAAAGTTGTATGTAAAGTGAGGTCTTCGGGACTAACTCCGGAAGCAACTAAATTGCCTGTGCAATTTAGGGTGCGTTCGCGAGTACGCGTCGAGCTGACTTTTCAGAGAATTGACGTAAAATCGGTGAAAAAACACGCTGCCGGGATTACTTGACACGTTGTATGGCGTTTACTAGCGTGTGAACAAGAGGAATTGGCCGACGGGTCAGCTCGTCATTCTCAGCTCGAAATCGGGCTGAGGCAGCTGAGAAACGCGACCAAACGCGTCGAGTTTAATGAAGGGTTGGGATTCCAAAAGTTGTATGGGGATTGCTAGCAAAGTTGGGAAGAACGCACCTTGACGAAACTTCGAAGTCAAGCCGTTTTTTTCCCGTTTTTCACCGTGTTCCATCAATAATGTCTAGACAACCCTCTCGCCCCTACTCCCAGGAGTCAATCGCTAGTAGTTCCCAGCCAGATCACTCCCAGCCGTTGGGGCCTGGCGGTTTTCGAGTTCCAGCGATGCCGTCGTTCGATTCGACGAACCGCGGTGAAGTAATAGGGTCGTTCGGTCGATTTCCCTCGCAACACCCCCCTACCGGCTCCCCCTTCGTTGGCGGTTCAGTTGAGGGGGCCTACGCAGCCTACGGCAACCACTGGGGAAGGGCTGGGTCGGTATCACAAGGTTTGCCGACGTCGACGCCGTTTACGGAGCGAGAATCGTCCGTTTCGTCGATGTTCTCGAGCCAGAGGTCGATAAGGGAGTATTCGATGGCGTCAGTCGCTACTACGTCGACTACGTTGGCCCGAGGACTCTCCTCTACCACCCCTGCCGCTACCACACCTCCTCCTCCTATGTTTCGCTGGGACGACCACCTCGACGGCGTGATGATACGTGTTTTGACGGAGAACGCTGCTCGAGGGCGTAAGTCCGATAATTCGTTCAAGGCTGCGGTATTTGCCGAGGTCTGCGACGCTATCAACGATCAGCCAGTCCTCCGTCCGGTAGACAATAAGATGGTTCAGAGTCGGCTAGCGTACGTAAGTTACGGACAAACGAATCGTCAGCGTCAAATCTTCATCAAATTCACCCAAATCACTTACAGTTGAAGTCTGACCGCTATATACCCCTCCGAGACCTCCGGAATTTATCGGGGATAGGCTGGGACGAACTACGTCAACGTGTAGTGGCTAGCGACGAGTTCTGGGAGGGTTTGAAGCGAAACGAGGTGAGTAGTGTCGATTTGAAGTTCGTCGTCGACGACGTATTGTTCTACGTCGACGTTCGAATATGCTCAAGTCGCGCTTACGTAAACGCGCGACCTCCTTTACCTGTACTTCATGTCTGCCTTTGTCTGTTTCTATATCGACCTGTATCTCAGTCAGCAGCCAACCGTAAGTTACTTACTTGGAGAAATAGATCCTGGGTGCACTACGATGCATTTCACGCCCTCTACCATGGCGCTACCCCCGACGGACGACATGTTATCACCCCTCAAAGGCCCGACCGCGAGCGGAACGAAAGCGAGGGAGAGAGGGAACGAAAACGACGTCGAAGTGGTGAGGAGGACGACGATAGCGATCGAGGGTGAGTCTACAACTCTACAACGTTGTAGACCTGGGAGAAGGTTCCTGATGGCTCCTTTTTCCACTGCTGCAAAGAACGACTGAGCCACCGTCTTCAGCCGAGCGTCGTCAACGTCGAACGTCTAAATCGACCTCCTCCGTTCAGCGTCAAGTCGAGCGAGACGCTACTATCGAACGACAGCTCGCTACGCTCACCTCAGCGGCCTCTGCCATCGAGCCAAAGACTGACGAGGCCTATAGGGTCGTCAAAACGATCTCCGACGACGCTGGCTGGTCTCAAGACGACTATAAGCGTTTGATCAATTTTTTCGCCGATAATTATTAGGCTTGCCTGCAAGCCTAGAATAGTATCACACGGGACTAGAAGGTAAGGGTAAGGTAAGGGATGTAATAACGGATGTAGTACAACTGGTACTACATTACAGTAACACATAGGGGGTGTTCTAGATATACTCCGTACGGAACTCCCATCGGAGGTCCCGGTAAAACTACCCAACGCGGGTGTTCGGTACGCGTACCGCGGATGCCATAACAGGATCCCCCCCCTAGGCCGAGATCCCAGATCGGCCAGCGCCGCTCGTGTTTCACGTAGGCGCCTTTGTTCTCTCCTTTCGTTCTTCCCACCGGTAAGCGTTCGTCGCTTACACACGTCTACCTGTTTCACAGGGGTACCCGAATTTCGGGCCCGATGGGGCGCGTCTCGCTGTTGTTCTTTTCTTTGTCCTTGCGCGGACATCCGTATGGGCGCATGTCCGACTCGTTGTTCGGGAGGTGTAAACAAAGGAGACCGTCGTTGATGTTGACGTCTGTACCGCTGTTGTTGTACGATACCCTCTCTCCATATGCCCATATCCATAGCAATAGTATTGTTCTAGTTGCTCTCTTTGCTAGTATCGCGATTCTTCTTTTGTTTGGGCCGCCGCAGCAGCAAGGATGTAGGGTATAAAGGGGTTCGCGTTCGCGTTCGCGAGGTGGGGAGTAAGTCGTAGGTGTCCTTCGCTACTACTCACTTTACCCCTCCTACGCTATCCACCCCCCGTCTACCTTTACGCCCTCCTCGATATGCCTGTCACTCCCAAGACTACCAAGAACCACGGCGACAAGCCGTACCAACCTACGCCTTCGCGGTCGACCGCGAAGCTCGAGCAAGACCGGCGTCGGGGTTTCGTTTACCCCAAAACTCAGTCCGCCGACGAGAGTGAGTGGTGTTTGTTTTGCTGAATCCGTCGGGGATAACATATCGGGCTATCTTCTAGAGGAACAAATCCACCAAGAGGAGTTGGGTCGTACCCACTTCAAGGCCGGTAACGCCTTCATCGAGCCTCTTGCGAAGGCGTGGCGGGAAGGGAACGTGGCCTCGTTCGATGGTATGATGGTATGTTCTTTTTCTCTTTTCTATTCCCTCCATCGGGAACACGGTTTACTGACTCCGATTGTGCGTACGCAGGCCAACTTCCGTGGTGGTTGGAAGTGGTGTTGTCTTAACTGCTTTGGTTATGAGGACCGCTTCCACCTCTCCGCCGAACACGACGTCCCCGGGTACACCGACAAGGACGGTAAGGGGTGGTACAACGTCATGGAGTTCAACGGCATGTTCGTCTGCCGCCACCCCGTCCCGGAGGCCGGGAAATCCACCAGCGGCGGGAGCTCCTGCTACTGTTGCCGCGGGACCAAGTTCAAGTGTGCCCCTTTGCCGTCCGCCTACATGACGGTTTTCGACAAGGACCACGGGGTCGTTACCCGGTACGAGGCAGCGTGCGAGGTCCTGACCATCCCCAACGTCCCCCACGAGGTCGCCATCGCCGTCGGGGACGAGTTGCAGCGGCTCATGAATCGCATGGTAAGTTGTTGTCCCGGTTTGGATCCCCGACGCAGGTACTTCTCGGAACTGATGTTTGTACCTTGCGTAGGTCCTCCCCTTACTCTCCAACAAGACCGATTGCTTGGTGGAGAACCGGTTCATCCCCGCCTGGCAAACGTACCGGGACGCGGAGATCCAGAAGCACAACGAGGAGTGGGCCAAGAGCCACCCCGACGCCGCTCGCAACCCCGATGGGAGCGTCACCATCCCCGAGGCCGACGAGTGGCCTCAAAAGGAACCTTACCGGCAGTTCCTCTTCCAGGGCCACGGCGAGGACATCGGGGAGCCCATCCCTGCGGCGCCCACGGAAGGTCCGGCGGGCGCTGCGTACGACGACGACGTTCTCCGAACCCCCACCCCCTCTCCCCCTCCTTCCCCGACTCCCAATCCCGCTTCCGATAAGAAGCAGAAGAAGAAGAAGAAGGAGAAGAAGGTTGTGGATGTCTCGGACGACGACGAGTGAGGGGTTTCCGGGTCTTTTGGAGTTTTGTCGTGTTTGTATTCTCCGGATTGTTTTTACGTCGGGATCTCTTTTTCTCTTGTATTTCTGATATACCATAATAGAGTCCCGACTTCATCTCTTTCTCTCTATGTGCGTTTACTCCTCGCGAGGGACTTGTGCGTTTTGCTCCTCGCCAGGGACTTGTGCGTTTACTCCTCGCCAGGGACTTGTGCGTTTACTCCTCGCGAGGGACTTGTTTCAGGTTGTGTTCTTCAGTAGTATGCGTTTACTCCTCGCGAGGGACATGTTTCGTATTGTACTTCTTGTACGGTTACCTTTTGATGGTGTATACTTTGGTGAGTGTATCTCTCGTAGTACTGTGAAGTCGGGTGCTTGAGAAAGTGAATGGTGATAAAAACATCCCCGCCGGTCCTGCCGTGGGGGTACAACAAATGATGAGCCAATAACAACACAACCGTACGTCTAATCAGTCGGGGTCCAGAGCAAAGGCTGCTCTCCGTTCTGCCTCGCGAGCTCGGCTTCCCAACCTCCCTCCGGGACGGTCTCGACGGGTTGCACCCGGGCACCAGCGACGTTCATCCGACCGTTGTTCCTACCCTTGAACCACGCAGGGGCAGGGACCCTCTGGTTGGGGCAGTTGACGGCTACATGCCCGTGTTGGAAACACCGGTAGCAGGGGTCGTTCCGCCTCATCCTGCCCGCATCGAGTTCCATGGGAGCAGCGGTGGAAGTGTTGGCGGCGGGGGTAGGAGTCGCAACGGTGGTATTGACCACAACGGGGTTACGGGGAGCGGAGTGGTTACTCGCTTGTCGGTTACCGCCCGAGTTGTAGCGGTTTCCCGAGGACATATGCCTTCTGGCATCCGCCTGATCTTCGTACCGGCGGCATTCCATTTGGAATTCCGCCAAAGTCATTGTTTCTTGGCCCGGCATAGGGATGATGGCGTCTTTGAACGCTTGGTTCAGGTTGGCCCTGAACAGCATCCGGCGAGAGTATTC